CTATAGTATCTATAGTATCTATAGTATCTATAGTGTCTGTAGTATCTATAGTATCTATAGTATCTATAGTATCTATAGTATCTATAGTATCTATAGTATCTATAGTATCTATAGTATCTATAGTATCTATAGTATCTATAGTATCTATAGTATCTATAGTATCTATAGTATCTATAGTATCTATAGTATCTATAGTATCTATAGTATCTATAGTATCTATAGTATTGTAACACGAGTGTGGGTGGAAACTATTTATTTCTTGTAAATACACAAACAAATAATTAACAAAATAACGCGAAAACTAATTACGAACTAAAAAAAAGGATATTTATCTTTTTATATTTATCTTGCAATTTATATGCTGCTTTCACTGACGTTTTCCAAAAATCTCCTTGTCAACTTGACTGTCTCGTTTTATGTTCGCTGTCACTAGGGAAAAGGTCGAAGCGTGCTACTGGGAAGCTAATCCGTTACAGTATCTATATTATCTATAGTATCTATAGTATCTATAGTATCTTTAGTATCTTAGTATCTAGTATCTATAGTACTATAGTATCTATAGTATCTATAGTATCTATAGTATCTATAGTATCTATAGTATCTATAGTATCTATAGTATCTATAGTATCTATAGTATCTATAGTATCTATAGTATCTATAGTATCTATAGTATCTATAGTATCTATAGTATCTATAGTATCTATAGTATCTATAGTATCTATAGTATCTATAGTATCTATAGTATCTATAGTATCTATTAGTATCTATAGTATCTATAGTATCTATAGTATCTATAGTATCTATAGTATCTATAGTATCTATAGTATCTATAGTATCTATAGTATCTATAGTATCTATAGTATCTATAGTATCTATAGTATCTATAGTATCTATAGTATCTATAGTATCTATAGTATCTATAGTATCTATAGTATTTATAGTATCTATAGTATCTATAGTATCTATAGTATCTATAGTATCTATAGTATCTATAGTATCTATAGTATCTATAGTATCTATAGTATCTATAGTATCTATAGTATCTATAGTATCTATAGTATCTATAGTATCTATAGTATCTATAGTATCTATAGTATCTATAGTATCTATAGTATCTATAGTATCTATAGTATCTATATCTATAGTATCTATAGTAATCTATAGTATCTATAATATCTATAGTATCTATAGTATCTATAGTATCTATAGTATCTATAGTATCTATAGTATCTATAGTATCTATAGTATCTATAGTATCTATAGTATCTATAGTATCTATAGTATCTATAGTATCTATAGTATCTATAGTATCTATAGTATCTATAGTATCTATAGTATCTAATATCTATAGTATCTATAGTATCTATAGTATCTATAGTATCTATAGTATCTATAGTATCTATAGTATCTATAGTATCTATAGTATCTATAGTATCTATAGTATCTATAGTATCTATAGTATCTATAGTATCTATAGTATCTATAGTATCTATAGTATCTATAGTATCTATAGTATCTATAGTATCTATAGTATCTATAGTATCTATAGTATCTATAGTATCTATAGTATCTATAGTATCTATAGTATCTATAGTATCTATAGTATCTATAGTATCTATAGTATCTATAGTATCTATAGTATCTATAGTATCTTTAGTATCTATAGTATCTATAGTATCTATAGTATCTATAGTATCTATAGTATCTATAGTATCTATAGTATCTATAGTATCTATAGTATCTATAGTATCTATAGTATCTATAGTATCTATAGTATCTATAGTATCTATAGTATCTATAGTATCTATAGTATCTATAGTATCTATAGTATCTATAGTATCTATAGTATCTATAGTATCTAGTTTAGTATCTATAGTATCTATTAGTATCTATAGTATCTATAGTATCTATAGTATCTATAGTATCTATAGTATCTATAGTATCTATAGTATCTATAGTATCTATAGTATCTATAGTATCTATAGTATCTATAGTATCTATAGTATCTATAGTATCTATAGTATCTATAGGTATCTATAGTATCTATAGTATCTATAGTATCTATAGTATCTATAGTATCTATAGTATCTATAGTATCTATAGTATCTATAGTATCTATAGTATCTATAGTATCTATAGTATCTATAGTATCTATAGTATCTATAGTATCTATAGTATCTATAGTATCTATAGTATCTATAGTATCTATAGTATCTATAGTATCTATAGTATCTATAGTATCTATAGTATCTATAGTATCTATAGTATCTATAGTATCTATAGTATCTATAGTATCTATAGTATCTATAGTATCTATAGTATCTATAGTATCTATAGTATCTATAGTATCTATAGTATCTATAGTATCTATAGTATCTATAGTATCTATAGTATCTATAGTATCTATAGTATCTATAGTATCTATAGTATCTATAGTATCTATAGTTATCTATAGTATCTATAGTATCTATAGTATCTATAGTATCTATAGTATCTATAGTATCTATAGTATCTATAGTATCTATAGTATCTATAGTATCTATAGTATCTATAGTATCTATAGTATCTATAGTATCTATAGTATCTATAGTATCTAATAGTATCTATAGTATCTATAGTATCTATAGTATCTATAGTATCTATAGTATCTATAGTATCTATAGTATCTATAGTATCTATAGTATCTATAGTATCTATAGTATCTATAGTATCTATAGTATCTATAGTAATCTATAGTATCTATAGTATCTATAGTATCTATAGTATCTATAGTATCTATAGTATCTATAGTATCTATAGTATCTATAGTATCTATAGTATCTATAGTATCTATAGTATCTATAGTATCCTATAGTATCTATAGTATCTATAGTATCTATAGTATCTATAGTATCTATAGTATCTATAGTATCTATAGTATCTATAAGTATCTATAGTATCTATAGTATCTATAGTATCTAGTAGTATCTATAGTATCTATAGTATCTTATAGTATCTATAGTATCTATAGTATCTATAGTATCTATAGTATCTATAGTATCTATAGTATCTATAGTATCTATAGTATCTATAGTATCTATAGTAGCTATAGTATTTATAGTATCTATAGTATCTATAGTATCTATAGTATCTATAGTATCTATAGTATCTATAGTATCTATAGTATCTATAGTATCTATAGTATCTATAGTATCTATAGTATCTATAGTATCTATAGTATCTATAGTATCTATAGTATCTATAGTATCTATAGTATCTATAGTATCTATAGTATCTATAGTATCTATAGTATCTATAGTATCTATAGTATCTATAGTATCTATAGTATCTATAGTATCTATAGTATCTATAGTATCTATAGTATCTATAGTATCTATAGTATCTATAGTATCTATAGTATCTATAGTATCTATAGTATCTATAGTATCTATAGTATCTATAGTATCTATAGTATCTATAGTATCTATAGTATCTATAGTATCTATAGTATCTATAGTATCTATAGTATCTATAGTATCTATAGTATCTATAGTATCTATAGTATCTATAGTATCTATAGTATCTATAGTATCTATAGTATCTATAGTATCTATAGTATCTATAGTATCTATAGTATCTATAGTATATAGTATTTATAGTATCTATAGTATATTTTATATCCAAGTTTGTATTTGACAAGCAACAGAACATTTCCCATACAACAATCTGGTTTCAGCAAAGTATATAGCACTACAGCGCTGCTAAACCTCACTGATAATACAGTAATTTCTCTTGATCTCTCTAAATACTTGGAGTTTTCTTAATTGCTTTTTATTCCAAACGTTTTGTTCTGATTGACCATGATTTACTTACTGCTAAATTAAAATATTATGGGTTTGAGAACATTGCTCTTTCAGGCTTTGAAACATATCTTTGGAAGGCACTCAATTCGTAACCATTTTTGTATATAGTTGGAATATTTGACCGTTTGAGTTTAGGTTTAGAGATAAATGTGGTCGAGTAAAAATAAATTGTTAACATAAATACAAACTCTGAACTCGATTTAGGTTGCTATTAAAAAAATTAAGATGGCGGCAGTACGAAGCTAAACGCAGACGTCACATATATTTGTTATACTTTAAAAAATGCAAAATACAGTCCTATGCATCACCCTACAATTTCATAATTATACATTCATTCGTTTACCTTGTTGCCAGACTTTTTCGCTACCCTGTATATTGTATTTTTTTCTGACTCTCTCAGTAAGATGAAAATATTATGAGTTAAAGAATAGCTATCTAGCTAATCTTCGCCTTTTCGGTACAAGTAGTGTATATACATTTTGTAAATAAATTATTAATATTATACTGCCGTGAGAAGGTAAAGAGCAGTAAGTGCAAAAAAATGATTTTGAGTTATTGCCAATTTAGTGTTTTTTGTTCTACGCAATTTATTTTTATTTCTATTTTAAATAAAAAAACATTATATAACGCTACTGGATAGGAATTATTTTTTAGAAAAAAATAAAATTTTCTCACTTTGAGTTTTGCTGAAAATTCAGCAGTTACTGCTGTTTACCCTAACAGTAACTCAATATCAATTTGTTATTAAAAAGCAGTAAATGCAAGTAATATTATAGCTTTATGTAAATTAATAATATCTTCTGCAACATAAATAAAATAAATACAAAATAAAGCAAGAGTTTATTAAAAAATATAGCAAAATAAAATAGTAGATACTGCTTTTTACATTCACATTTGAATTTATGTTTTAAGTAAATGTGTAGGTAAACAGCAGTAAATGGTTTTTAAGTTAGATACTGCCTATTACCTTAACACTGAAGAGTTATATTGTCAGTTACTGCGATTTGCCTTTTCAATTCTGGCCTAAGTTTATTTATATATGTGCACCAAACCCTATCAGAAGTTAGGGCAGTTACTGCTTAGGTATGAAACATTAATATCTCATTTTTGACTAAAATGTTACTTACTGCCCTTTACCTTCACACGGCAGTATATTACCTTTAGAACATTTTGACTGAAGTTGGTACGAAACTGAAGCAGCCCCGGCACTTTCACCGAAAATCGTAACTTTGGCAGGATCTCCACCGAAATATTTAATGTTCCGTTTCACCCATTTCAGGGCGAAACATTGATCCTTCAATCCTGTGTTACCCGGAACCACCATGTCCCCAGTACTAAGAAAACCTAAGATTCCTACACGATAGTTGAAAGAGACGAAAATTATATCGCCTCCTTGAAGTAGCGGGTCTGGTCTGTAGGTGTCGTATGAAGAGTTTCCTTGGATAAATCCCCCTCCATAAATCCATACCATTACTGGCAAATTTCCTTTGAGCTACAATAATAAACAAATAATAACAACGAGAGATAATTGGTAGTTTTTCCTAACAACTCTTTGCCACATACAGGGAGGCCCCTTAGTGTGTGGAAGTGCAATAATCTCAGTTGTTTTTGAAAAATATGAGAAAATGTCAAATATAAAAATTTTACTTTTTGCAGTAACGCCTATTGCAAAAATATTTATCAATGTACAGGGTATTCCCAAAAAAGGAAGGCAACATAAAAAATATTTTTTTCAAATGGAACACCACGTATTTTATTTTATTTTGGAATTTTACTAAAAAAACTATTTATTATTGTTTGAAACACCATGTCTACATGCAACTGTTTTCAAACTTTTGATATTCGAAAATTGATCATTTTATACTTTAATAAGCTGTACACCCATGTGCTTGAACGGTTTATATGTCCCTATCTTAGTTTTTCATATCCTATCCAGATATCTGAAATTTGAGTTAATTCAATCTAAAAAAAACTTCCGGTTAAACTGTAAGTGGACTATTTAATTGCACATTTGTATAAAGTATAAAAACTAAGATAGGGACATATAAATAGTTTTTTCTACGTCCATGTCAGTAAACGTTAAAAATCACACTATCAACATTCCTTGTAAATGACATTTAACAATAACATGCACGTAATGAGATCTCATAACATACACGTGCGTTTTGATAAGAAAACTTAAATTTCTTGGTTTAATCAAATTGCAATAAAAAAATTTTCTACGTACGACTTTATTTGGTATATTTACATAAATTTAGTCATTTAAAAAACATAAAAACTTTTAGCATTAGCGAGATACATTTTGGATTAAAAGTGTGATGCCCCTAAATGTCGGCAACATACTATACAATTTTTCAAAATATATGTCGCGTTTTCTTAGCATGCTATGGAAATAATCGTCATGCCATTTATATTGTCAATTTTTGTAACAAAATATGATTGTATCCGAACATTTTCTCAACTTTACCTACAAATATGTTTGTTAGCGGTGAAAGTGATGAAATTATGAGCACCGGAGATTTTAGAAAAAGCTTAAGCTGCCACACATAATTTGTTACCGCTAAAATCTAAAGAAAGGTACGAAATTACCTATCGAAAATTTATGGATTGGTGACACAAGCATAACGTTCAATCCTTTTTAGAGAATGTTTTAAGCGGGAGTAGAAAAAGAATAGTATGTTACACGAGTTGTAAGCCCATTACGCACTCGTGAAATTGTTTCACTTCGTGCGTATTGGGTTACTTACAACTCTTGTTACGTAATATACTATTATAATCATTTCAAATTTAATTGAAATATTGGACTTCCACGCTCTAATGAACCACCCTGTATACAATCGGATTATTTCTAAAATTAACCAGAAGCTGGCGCTAGGCGTGCGTTCTGTTCACTGGTGCCAATCACTTATTTTAAAAGCGCCATTGTTTATTCCACGCCTAATATTAATATATCAATATAAACCGTCAGATAATGACCGATTTAGGTGCCTCATTTTCGCATACAAGTCTCGAAGATGGTTGAAAAGTACATTGATGTTGAGTAAAATAAAAGGAAATTTACGTGTGGCTCTTGGGGATAACACATGGAAAATTCGACTTTCCTTAACAGAAATATTTTCCGACCCCAAAATACACTTATCTATTCGGGTTATTCAAGCCAATATGTTTTTCGGACTAGTGAAGATGAACGTTTTCATAAATTCAATGCGCTTGTGTGGAAAAATCGGTAAAAATCTCAATTTTTCTTTACAAGATAACGCCTTTATTTCAACCCTTTAGCCACTTGCAAAATTAAAGCCTCTGGTTTTCCAAAGCCTAGTTCTACTAGTTAATCATTTAGTGTTTACGGCTTGCGTGAAAATATGGGCAAATAAATATCTTTAATTTTTTTTAAGGAAAATCGAATTTTCCATATGTTATCCCAGGGGTTACTTGTAAATTTCCTTTTATTCTACCCAAAATCGATGTACTTTTCACCCTCTCGAGGCTTGCATGCGAAAATGGGGCACCTAAACCTGTTACTATCTGACGGTCTAATATATCAGTGTTTATTTTTAACTAATTAACTTTTTCCTTATAACATAGTAATAGTGAAATTACGTAAGTTCGGCCATATCCAAACTTATATGTTAAATAATACCTAATAAACTTTCTTAATAATAAATAAACGTTTCTTTCAGTGAATGATTCGGTTATACCTACTTACATTTGGCGTATAAACGTTAATGTAAAGACAATCCTCGGATCCTACAACAGTTTTTATTCCTTGCACGCATTGAGATTTGTCTTTGGTAGCATCTAAAACACCACTCCATTTGTCATTTCTAACTGGTGGCTAAAGAAGAAGAATGCATTATTTTAAATATAAATAAGGTATAGTTGCCTCCGGATTCGGTCGGAAAATGTACACCGAAAAAGATAAAGGTAAGTTTGGCAACATTGTTAAAAGGGTCCGATGAGTAGTTGTAAATCATAAATTTATGGAGTATTATATTTCATAATCGTTTATTCACAAGTTAAACATTATATTTTTGTACGTACTAATTGATTTATATAATACCCTAGGTACTATTATAACTCACAATAATTCTAATTTATTTATTACAATTTGTCTTTACTGTCCAACACTTAAATTGAAACTTAACTTCTTTCGACAAACTCGCGTTATTTATATAAAGCCAGCTCTGCACTAGAATATTCTCAACCATCTAGAAATTCTGGAATTTCATCATCTAGGACTTAACAGCCGCGTAATGCTTTTTCTAGTAGCTTCTCGAAGTAGTGCATTTGTATCTGTCCGGGCGAAACAGGGTTGGCTTAGGCGTTCTCACAACAATAGAGATAACATTTTAGCTGTGAAATTTAAGGAAAGTTAGTTAATCCTCGTGGTCAGCTTTTCCTGGCACAAGTCACCGAATCCGTTAATCACACGGCGGAATTTAGTAGCAATACGGGCATGATTTACTTCAAGTGAAATCGTTCTTTTTTACCACCGAATTCTGAGACAACTATAATTTCTCTGATTTCTATTAAGCATCTTGTTAAAAATTCTCTAGAATAAGCTGGGAGTAAACACATTACTAATACATCGCATTGCTTTATTAAAGTTCATTTTCAAGCTTAGATAAATGTATTTTCTTTTGTAAAATGTGTTTTTGTTTTTTTTTTAAATATTCAATGTTATACTCTTTTTAAATAACATTTTGATAAATTTTTCATTGCCCAATTTTTTATCGTTATTACCTACTCTTTACTTTGTCATTACAGTACTAGGACTTTTAAATGCCCTACATACAGACTGTATCAGAATATAATTATAAATACAGTTCCAACATTAATTTATGCTAGCGAAGACTGGGTAGGTACTACAGAAAAAAATATGAGACAGAAGTAAATGAAATATTTGAGAAAAATAACGGTGGAAATTAAATAGGATAGTAAGGAATGAATATATGTATAAGGAAACATAACTATACAGGAACCAGTAATTACAAAAGATAAAAAAGAAAATTACACTGATGACTTAGGACAGAATAGCGAGAAAAATAATAAAAATTGTGAATTTAATATATCTTAGATCGCAAATCGAAATCCGAAGTCAGAAATATCTGAAATAAGTTGTAAAATAATTTGAAAATTCGGAAATAAATCTCAAAAAATCCACTTACAAATTATTAAAACCATTCCTGAACCCCAAAGGTGAAAACAAATACTTGGAGATTTGAAAAAGCCTGTCCTAGCCGGGAATCGAATCCAGACATTCTTGTATAGACAAGTGCCACTTCTATTAGACCATCCACGACAGTGACAGAAGTTTGATATGCTAGTACGAGCCAGACGTCGTTCAGGCTTGTTTTCAAAATCTTCTATCTCTCTGCAGCATCGGTGTATATCAGAAATGCATTTATGCATACTAAGCCCATATCTTCGTCTGCGTGAGTTAAGTTTTCAATATAAGTAAAGAGCGTAAACCTGAGTATGAAAATTGTGAATTTAATATATTTGCAATATACGATATTTTAAATTCACAATTTTCATACTCAGGTTTACGTCTATAACGTACATTGAAAAACTTAAATCATGCAGACGAAGATATAGGCTTAGTATGCATAAATGCATTTCTCATATACACTGATGCCATAGAGAAGTATTTAAAGATTTTGAGAACGGGCTTTAACGACGTCTGGCCCAAACTAGCACATCAAACTTCTGTCTAGGAATCTCGACAGTCGCTGTCGTGGATGGTCTAATGGAAGTGGCACTTGTCTAGCATACAAGGATGCCTGAGTTCGATTTCCGACTACGACAGGCTTTTTTTAAATCTTCAAGTATTTGTCTTCACCTCTGGGGCTTGGGAATGATATTAATAATTTGTAAGGGGATTTTTGAGATTTGTTTCAGAATTTTCAAATTATTCTAGAGAAATAATAGAAATGGAAAAAAATCAAGAATAAGGCATTGAAGAAGATTCGGGAGGAAATGGAATGGCAAATTGAAGAGATCGGAATTAATAAGGAGAAACTTTGATAGAGACGAACAGACTAGCCAAGAACAGAAAAAGAAAAAAAAAGAAAGAAATTATTTACACGAATCATTAAATATTTACATTAACATATCTTAAAACGATAGAAGACTTACCTCGAATCTTAGGTCATTTACAGGTGGCTTTGCATAAGGAATTCCTCTAAAAGCATAAACGGTTACGTTGGAGTGCTGGAGCTTCTGTATTGTTCCTTTTATAATGCCATCTTCGATCTTCAAGTTTTCATGAGATTTATCCTAAGAAAATGAAAATAAATTGAAAATTAAACTAAACTTCTAGCGATCAGATATCAAATTATCCACAAGTTCTAATGATGCTGGAAAAACGAGCTAATACTTAATTCAACCACAGATCAGATTAAATTTGGTTAGGTCTCATACCGACCTATTCAGGACTATTGTGAATACTCTTTTAACATTGGTTAGACTCCATAGAATAGGAAGTAGCTCTCTGGTATAGCTAGTTGCCTTTGGTTTTTTTCTCCAAGTGTAGGGAATACTCTTTTAACATTGGTTAGACTCCATAGACTAGGAAGTAGCTCTCTGGCATAGCTAGTTGCCTTTGGTTTTTTTCTCCAAGTGTAGGGAATCTCAGTTATGATAGACCTTCGTAGTAGCACAATACATGCATTAGAATTTCCTCCTCTTCTTGATAGAATCGCCACCAGGTATCTTCTACCAGGCCGCGTCGGTGTTGGTTATACATATGTCTGTTAAGCCTCCAATGTCCTAATAATAGGCCTACCAGTACTCTAGTATTTTTTCTAATCTGGCTTAGTAGATACTCGGTAAGTTTTGGTGATGATCTTTTTAAAAACTCTCTGGCCTGTCTGCTTGGTAAAATGTTCCAATATTCCTGAGATTTGTTTAACGTTCACTGCTTTGTGCTTATTCCGGTAGGTATCTTCGGGACACCACAGATGGGTTCTGGACCTGTAAGACTATATGTGGCTAGTAAATCAGCCTCTTTTTTGCCTTTATGTCCTCTGTAGCCTGGTAGCCAAACTAGGATTAGTCTGTTTTGACTACTCAGCTCTGTTAGGGCTTCTAAACAGTCGCACACAAGCTTTGACTGCACCTGCATGAAACTAAGAGCTTTTAATGTGACAGTAAGAGGAAGGAGTATACGATTTTGGTATATTGGTTTTTTGGCTGATCGCGTCTTTGTGGCACAATATACCTAAGTATACTGTGTCTGTGGCGCAATCTGACGAGTGAATGCATATAGCTAAAAAGAGAAGACAACACGCCAACAGATTCTTCAAACTGTCAAAGAACACATTAATTGGCGCGCCGCTCACAAACAAGGTTACCAAACCAGTGTTGCCAGTCTAGTACAATTCACAATTGTACTGGATGTAGTACATTCTGCGTGCATCAGTGTTCACGTGTAAAATATATATATTTGACCAATAAACCAATAACTTACGAAATTTGAATCAGTAAAAGATAGGTTTGCCACATTTCCGGAAGTGAAAGCGTGGCAACCGTGACGATAGAGCATTTATATATAATCAGGTCCAAATTAAAAAAAAGGTCCTCAGCTTATTTTTCCTGAAACAAGTGGAACATTTTTATATAACGAGGTCTTTTTTTCTGAAAAAAAAGGTCCTCAACTTATATTTCGTACACACGAGGGTCTTTTACCCGGTCTATTTTTGTATAAATCCAATTCCTCTGCGGCTTTTAAAAAGCGTGGAATTTACATAAAAAGCGTGCAGGCAAGATAAAAAGCGTGGCTGCCACGCCTATAGTGTGACGTCTGGCAACCCTAGATATATCAATAACATTCAGCTGAGCAAAGGGAAGCCCTTCATTCTATCAAAAATCGACATGAAAAAAATTAAACCATCAAAATATTACCTAATATAACCTAAATTAGAATTTATGAAATTAATCAAAAAAAAGCTAATTTAAAACAATTTCTTTAACAATTTTTGTAATTTTTTATTTATATAGTTATTTTAATACTTATTACATACAGAAGACAACTTTTAAGAAGATAAAGAAGAAAAAACGAAGAAATTCAAATAGATTCGAAAATATTTCGAAAAAGAAAGCGTTATATATTGTGTATACAACAGATTATTTTATAATATTATTACCTTTGCAAATCATAATTTTTAGTTTGTAAGTATTAGTGGAAAGTTAAAGAAAAGAAATTCAATGTAGGTACTTAATTTAAATTTTTCAACAACTCTTGAAACAAATTTTGTAATTTTTATTTGTATAACTATTTTAATACTAATTAACTACAGTACATAACTTATAAGAAGATATATAAAAGAAAGAAAATAAAAAACGAAGAAATTGAATTAGAAAATCCCAAAGAAAATATTTCGAAAAAGTTCCTATTTTTAAAAACTTGAGGAAGGAAGAGTGTTATATTTTTAATACAATTTTTATGTTATATATATATTAGATTATCTTTGCAATTCATAATTTTTAGTTTATAAATACTAGTAGAACTTTATTATTATTACTTTATGGCCTTATTATCGGCTTTAGTTCAGAGTTGTATTCATTTGCCACTATTTTATTATAATTAAATAATTATTAATTAATTAACATTATATCTTTAAGTAATTTGTTGTCAATATTCACTTACATTTTTGGTATCTGACTTCAAAGTCACTTCAGAAACACAAGCTAGAATCACAACAATACACAACAAACCTTCCCAAAACATTCTAATAATTTTAGAAACAAACATTATCCCATACTGAAATTTTTTTTATTTAAAGCTTCTTCAGTATATAAGTATGGCAAAAGAATTTTTTTAATTACAATTTATTACCTCGAGGAACACATAAGGTTTTCGAAATATGTTAGAATTTCAGGGCCAAGTTGATAAGCAATTTTTTTTTCGAAAAAAAATTTTTCCGCAAACATAAAATTTATTACTTCTAATACTTTACATTGGCTACATTATTTTAATTCATACATAAAAGGGACTAGTTTGCATTGTTGACAATAAAAGTAGGTATTTATAACGATATCAAATAATATTCAATTAATTCGCTCGTTAAAATTACGTACAGTGTTGTGCAAATATGCTTTGCTTCCGGCTTTTCTTTAAAAAGAAGAATATTTTCGGGAGCTTGAAATGCGTAAGTTTCATTCTTATTGTCCCCATAAGAAGAAGACGTCCAGAGAATTTAAATCAGGGAATCTAGCAGGCCACAAAATGTCGCCATTATTCGCAATGGGAAAATTTTCTTTAAAATAATTATTTGCGATGGCGGGATTATGAGCTGAACAACCATCATATATAACACCAAGTTCCCCACAGTTGCCCTCACAGCTAGCATTATTTGCTCTTATGTCTTGTAAGAGCTCAAGATATCGTTTTGCATTTAAACTGAAATTAAAAATGAATGGTCCAATTAATTGATTTCCTGAAAGTATTAATTTCGTGTTAAAATTCAAATCTCGAAAATGCAAAAAAATGTTTGTCTGGCCGTCTGTGCGTATGTGTCATCATAATTTACAAAACATTTAGTCCGTTTTTCTATCATTCTTCTCTAAAACGAAGTCTAATACATGTAAAGTTTTCCACAATTTGTCTCTTTTAACGTTTGGCAAAGTTTCGTCTCCATTAATCTCTACTAAAAGTTTATCCAAAGTAGGTGTCCAAGTGACATTTTTTAGATTTATCAAAGTATATAAGTATTAGTGGAAAACCCTTTTTTAAGACATGAATGAAACTTTTGAATCCGCAAGATAGCCTTAGGGCTGCTATACATCTGCTTTAAGAGTAAATGGGAGAGTCCTATAACGGTTCTTAGGAGTATTTTTAAAACAATATTTTAAAACTAATTAAACGCAAGTCAAAGTCCGTAAGAGTATATTAAGAATTTTATTGAACCATTTTTAAATATTTTTTACGAATATGATAATAAGTGGGATATGCATAAAAACTTTACAAAACTAATCAGTTTTAAGAGAATTAAATTTAAAACTGTTTTACCTTTATTCTGTTTTATCATACTCTCTATCAGAATGATTTTGCAAATATGTTGCCATGTTATTTCCTCAATTTTCAAACACACACCAAAGTACTGTTAAAAGTGGGCATGCTGGGTCGTAATAAATGATGGGCTTTACAATAGGCATATGAAATTTAGTAAAAAAAAGTATTAATACACGGATTCTAATCTATTTACCGAAAGTCATTTAATAAAAAAATATTGTAAATATCGTATATAAAATGATTACATTTGTTTTTGGTATGTTTTTGATATAAAATATCACATTTTGTATTTTTCAAATTATTTCATGGAAGCATAGGCGCTGAATCCCCGGGGCTCCGGGTGCGCAAGCACCCAGAGCAGTTTTAAACAGGGTGCGGAGCACCCAGAGCACAACGAGAACAAAAAGTGTCAATAAGTGAAATGAAGAAACTGTCGTGGCCCAAGTTGGTATAGCGTCAGATGCCTCAATAAAATATTATCTTTCGGAGCTATATTTTTTGTGATAAAAAAGTCGCCGTAACTTGTCATAGACAACGCGTTGAACTTAAGGGATAATTATTTTTGGTGTAAAAAACCCTATGACGTCAAAAAAGAAAGATTAATAACGGTCTACAATTATCAAGATAAGATCTTTGTACATATGCCATTGAGCAAATGCTTAAGGGGAAAAGGGAGAACATTTGAAAGTTGCTCCCGATCAAGCACCGTTAGAAAAAAACGTTCATTTAGAGTTAGAAACAGCTTTCTAGTATTGCTGGCGAGAAACCAGGTCATCTACTAAAAAACGCTTGGACAAGTCAATTTTGTTTTTTAGGGGGGAACATTGTTTTGGCAGTTTCACCCCCTAAGCGGAAACCCTCTATCGGGGGTGAGACTCACCAGTTATATCTTAAATGGAAAGATTGGTCGAATGATATGTTATTTTGAAGGTATTTTTACCTAGATAAAAAACGCCGAGTTTTACATCGCTACTATCTATGTATCCCATACAGTGGCTCACCAAAAGTACAAAACCGGTTTAACATAATTTTTACATTGTTATTAAAAAAAAAGGAATTATTTGTAACAATTTTACTTTTATTCCTGTGGCTTTCAATTATTCTTATCAGATGACATTCTTTGGTCGCCGTAAAGTAGTAAGGTTTAGTTTATTTCGTTGTAGAATCGGCATAAAAGTGGCATATCAGTGATAATGGTTTACTCTATTGCTAAGAGGGTGCAAATAATTTTACTTTTTTTGAAAATAATAAATGTGCTAATAGAACTGCCTAACTGTTTAAAATCGACAAGCCCATCGAAACTACATTTTGGAGTTAGTCCAAACATTTTGGAAAACGGGGTCAGTAGCTAACAAATAACGTGAAATGGAAAATTCTGTAGTAAATGAAGCTACAGAGGTGGCGATTTTAGGACATGTTAATGAACTCATATTAAGTACAAGAAAGTTGACGATAACATCTGGTATTAAGAGACGTAGTATTCAGAAGATATTGAAAGTTTTATTCCTACAAAATACATCTGGTAAAATAACTTAATGAAGACGATTTTGATAGACGATTACAATTTTGTGAAATTATGACTGAACGGGTATTAAATGATCAGCAATTTCTTTTCAACGTGTGTTACTCAGACAATGCACTTTTTTCCTAAATGGTACGGTAAATCGTCACAACTGTCGTTATTGGTCCGATTCAAATCCCAGAATATTTTATGAAGTACATACGCAACATCCGGAAAAACTGAATGTTTGGGCTATACTTTTTGGTAACCGTATAATGGGCCCCTTTTTTGCCAGAAACTTTAACCGCAGAAATGTATCTGGAATTATTAGAAAACTCTATTTATTCAGCATTACTAGAGTTGATTGAAAATGACGATCAGTACATAGCAAACAACTTAATATTCCACCATGATGGTGCACCATTGTTCGTCAGTATTTGGATCAAACGTTTCCAGGATCGGAAGAAGAGGACGTATTGAGTAGCCCCCACAGTCTCCGGATCTAAGCCCGTTGGATTTTTTATGGGACCACTTAAAAACTAAAATGTATGCCACCCAGCCAACATCACTGGAAAATCTGCGACAACGGATAATTGATAAATGTCATCAAATCACCCCACAGATGCTTTAAAATGCCCGATAGCATTTTGAACAAAACCTCTATTATTGCATGGAGGCACAGAATCAGCATTTCTAGCATTTACTCGATTAACTGGTAGGCTTTTACAGAAAATAAAAATCGTTAAAAGATAATAGCTATGTAAAAATACCTTCAAAATACCAGTGGTGGCTGCACCGAGCATATAGGGTTGCCAGATAACCCGTTTTAGGTGAGAGCCTCCAACCTATCCAGCAATTGCCATTTGACAATACCTCTTTTTTTGAAAATTTTTTTCATAAAATCAACTTTAAAATAGCTTTTTAAACAACCGGTGGTGCCTTTAAGTGAGTTGTGGAGGGTGGGGGGATAGCCCCCATTTTCCGCATAGAAGCCGGGCACCCAAAGCGATTTTTGAATTCCGGCGCCTATGCATGGAAGTGACTATTTAACCACCAATATAAATCCTATTGTAGATTTGTCTTTGCAGAAATACTTGTCATCGTCAGAAAACCATTTTCAATTGCGCATGCAACCTACTGGACTACCAGAAACAAACGGCGAGACAAGAGTCGTATAGCATAATATCATAGCATGTTTCAATATAAATTACATTTATATACCCTAAAAGATAATATTAGGTGTAGATATATTTGACAAATTTGACATTATGTGGTTAACGAAGTAAACGCACCACATACTTTGATTTTCTTTTACTATACGGAGAATGGTCGCACTGCGCAGCTTTCTGAGTGCCTTTTAAAAGGAGATAGAAAACTCCGTCATTTTGAACCCTTATTAGGTGTTGCCTACATCTTGACACAATATTTTTAATCATCCGCTCCTGCTTCGGAATTGTCGGTTTTCTTGTTTTAATCTGACAGGTTAAAACGACTAAACCGACAATTCCGGAAGCAGGAGCGGATCTACTGTCATTGGCACACTGTTTTCATTGACACACTATCACAGTCTTTGGTACACAAATTACGCCATCACTAAAATCGAAAGATTTAAGAATTATTTAAACTTTGGACGTAATTTACTGTAATATTCAAAAGTAAGTTATTTGAATATCCATTAGGTACATGTCTAGTAGACAGGTAGATACTATTTTACGTGGTATGTGGTTAAACAGACATTGCCATATTTAAAATGGAGGATTTTCTCTATCTGTACCTAAAAACTGACATTAGCTTATAAAACTAATAAAGCAAAAAAAATACTTTTTAGGACTTTCCAGTTACAAAAAGACCCTGCTACACTTTTTAAAGAGTTTCATAGTTTCACAAGAGCAAAATCCAAAATCTCAATAAAACATCATAAGTTGAATCCTTAGACGGGCATAACCTAACCTAACCTAACCTAACCTAACCTAACCTAACCTAACCTAACCTAACCTAACCTAACCTAACCTAACCTAACCTAACCTAACCTAACCTAACCTAACCTAACCTAACCTAACCTAACCTAACCTAACCTAACCTAACCTAACCTAACCTAACCTAACCTAACCTAACCTAACCTAACCTAACCTAACCTAACCTAACCTAACCTAACCTAACCTAACCTAACCTAACCTAACCTAACCTAACCTAACCTAACCTAACCTAACCTAACCTAACCTAACCTAACCTAACCTAACCTAACCTAACCCTAACCTAACCTAACCTAACCTAACCTAACCTAACCTAACCTAACCTAACCTAACCTAACCTAACCTAACCTAACCTAACCTAACCTAACCTAACCTAACCTAACCTAACCTAACCTAACCTAACCTAACCTAACCTAACCTAACCTAACCTAACCTAACCTAACCTAACCTAACCTAACCTAACCTAACCTAACCTAACCTAACCTAACCTAACCTAACCTAACCTAACCTAACCTAACCTAACCTAACCTAACCTAACCTAACCTAACCTAACCTAACCTAACCTAACCTAACCTAACCTAACCTAACCTAACCTAACCTAACCTAACCTAACCTAACCTAACCTAACCTAACCTAACCTAACCTAACCTAACCTAACCTAACCTAACCTAACCTAACCTAACCTAACCTAACCTAACCTAACCTAACCTAACCTAACCTAACCTAACCTTACTCTTTAGCTTCTTATTTACTCTACTCTTCTTTGCTTACGAACAAGTCATTAAAAATATAAAAATAAATAATACATTAACCATTTTTCTCTTTCACTGATCATTTCCAGAATATTAGGAGTAGTGATGCCGCGAGACGAGCGATTATCATCTCTCGTCTCGTCTTGTCTCGTCTCGAACGAAACGAGAGACATTTTCTCTCGAAAATAGATTCGAGACGAGACGAGAGAGTGTCATCTCTCGACGAGAATTTCTCGTTTCTCTCGAGCTCTCTCGGACTCTCTCGAACAATTTTCTCTTTGCTTATTTGAAATGTTCAATTGCTTATCGTAACTTCAAATTTTAACATATTAGATTTCGAGATAGTCAAAAAGTTAACTATTACTATTCTATATACATATATATTAAATGTAATAAATGATTGAGTTATTAGGAATTTATAAATAGTGATTTATAAGAAAAAATATTTATCATTTCATTTATTTAAAATTTATACAATAATTTCTTATATTTAATCCATTCTGCTTTTCTGAGGTTACTTTTGAAGATAAGTTGAACATTTTTAAGCGTTTTTTTCGAAAAACTGTCAAAGAAAAGGTAATACAAACGAATGTATTAAATACAGTGAGGACAAAAATTGTGCCCTCCTCTAATTTAACTTCTAAATGAAAAAAGATAATGACAAAACAAAAACGAGGTAAAACTCAAGAGATATTATATTTTTGTTATAACGAGATGCACTTTACTTGAGACACGTAAGATTAGGGAGTTACTAGCTTTAAAATTTTCTAATGGAAAGTAGGATCGTGTGATACCTCATTTGAAAAATATTTTCTATATTTTTACGTTCATGTCAACAGATTTAGGTTTTTATGTTTTTACAGAAATTACATTAAATAAATTCATAAAGTAGGTTAAATTCTTTTTTTTTATTTACCGCTTCAACCTCAAAGGATCATTACCGAAGGTATAATACCTTACAAATGCTGTTTTTTACAATAGTATACAATGGATAATTAATATTTTGGCTAGTACAGAGTAAATGTCAGTATCTTTTATAAATTTAAGTAATTTTTTACTGTTAGAGGGATTTAACACTGCACAAATGACAATTTTTTGTAGCTGGTACTTTGTTCTTATACAGATATGTTCTGGACCTTTACTCATAAGTTAACTCTCGTATTAACAATTACCAACAAAACGCTTTTTGCATTTAGTAAAATAAATAAATTTAGAATATCAAAGGTGATTTAAAAACCACTTGACGTATTAAATTTTTCATAACTTCTTAGCAAAAAAAAGCTTATTAAAAAATTATCTTCTAAGATTATCTAACATTTCTAGGATTATTGCGGTACACGAGGATTATCAAAAATGTAATTTTTGTAAAAACAAAAAAATTAAAACTGTTTGCAATATAATCAAAATATCTTTTAAATGAGGTATTACATGACTTTACTTTCCATTAGAAAATTTAAATACAGTCACGCCCTCTATTTTACATTTCAAGTAAAGTGCATCTCATTATAACAAAAATATCATAATGTTTCTCTAATTTCACATCGTTTTTGTTTTATGTCTCCATCTTCTTGCATTTTGAAAACATACTACAAAACGCTTTCATTTGACATTTGACAGACCAGTTGACTTTTTTTGCTATATTTGGGGAACAAAGAGTTATCATCAATACTAAAGTTTTCGAAATTAGGTCCTGTCAAACAGATAATTTCATCATCATGTCGAGAATCTTGGATAGAATTAATAAGTTTTAATCCAAAAGCATCATTTTTTATGAAACCCCAAGCAGCATAAGGCACATTAAAGCCCCCTCCAATAATAAAAGGAGTATCAACTTGATCAAAAATATTCCAGTCCGTAATAGAGGGTTTAATTTTAGGTGGTCGGTAAATGCAGAATTCTTGCATTTAATTTTGGCTCCACATACTTAAATAGTTTGGTAGAAATTATTAGAGAAAACTATTTCATCAAAACTAATACTTTGCTTGAAATGAATTGCTACGCCAGTATAACTAACCGTCGCGCGTCGCGTCGTCGCGGTACTTCCTTACAATATTGTAAATTTTAAATTTCAAATTATTGTACTTGCAAGAGCTATATCGATTTTTTTAGAAGAAATTTGTTAGACTAATTTTGTTGGCAATAGCGAAAAGTGCATTCCACTGCATAATAATTAACTTATTTAAACTAGAGAATGTTAATTATGACTTTTTCAGGACTTCCTTCAGAACCTCCTTATATTTATAATTAAAAATTCTTTATTTTGATGATTTATATTTTAAATATAACAAATAACCAAAAATATAATAAAATAACAATTATTTAGGTATATTAATCCCTGTGTCCGAAAGTGCCATCTTCGGAGGATATTTTATTCTTGTAAAGGTAAGAATTTTTAGCTATTTGTTTTAATTTGTAAGCCATTTCCGGTCCAGTTTCGTTGACCATCTTGGATAAGAAACTTTCGGAATTTTGTAATAAGTAATAGGGGTGATCGAATTCCATAACTTGACCGGCGTCCATAACTAAAACTCGATCATTATCCATAATGGTGTTGAGTCGATGAGCGACGGTAAGTACGGTGCAGTCTTTGAATCTCTCACGAATTGTTCTTTGGATTAGGGAGTCTGTCCTAAAAAGACAAAATGTCCATTAACATGATGTTAGCACTTGTGCCATATTAGAAAAATAAAAATCGACCAAAATATAATAATAATATTCTTTTCATTACAATAAATGTTTTTACAATTTTTTATTTACAAATTATAGATGCTGAATAAATAGATATACATTTAGTCCATTGAACCAATGAGGTTGTGCATGGACACTAAAAGAAACATATAAATCATGTGTAACGTGTGTAAAAAAATAAAGTATATAATATAAGTATGTTATTTATATATTTTTTTTTGGTAGAGAGAGGAAGGAGAAATCATTTCTTAATTAACTAATTTAAACTTAGTTTTTAGGTACTGTTTATTAGGTTGCTAGTTTTATCTCTTCCTAGTAAAATTATATATTTTTTAAATATATTTTTAATGAAATTTTCTGAATTTATTTTGAAGAGATAGGTTTTATATATTTCTGGAAGATAGTTATAAATCTTACGTGATAGGTAACTATAAGAACGAAGACTTTTTTTGTAGTAATTCTATGACTGCATTATCGGTACCTTTGTACCTGGTGTCATAAACATGATTAACTTTTTCCAAAAAAGGAGGAGGCTTTCAATTCGTCGCAATATTTTTTTATGTATATTCAGCGATAATTATTTAACATGGTGTCCGATTTCAATGACTATTTTTTTGTTAGAAAGGAGGTACTTCAGGGGTAGTTCCATATAAATTTGGTCAAAATCTAATAATTGGGTCCATGAGAAAATCCTCAAACTCTTCATTTTTTATGTATGTTTAGTATGTTTAGTGATAATGCTTTACCACCTTGTCCGATTTCTATGATTCTTTTTTTGTTAGTAAGGTGGTGTCTCAGGGGTGGTCCTATATAAATTTGGTTAAGATCTGGTGATGGCATCTGCATGTTTTTGAAGTCGGTTTTTTAAATTTTAAATTTCTAATACTTGTCAATACATGGTTCGTTCTTAAGTAAACAATCTTCATTAAATAATTAAATAATTATTACAGTCAAATAATGTTTAATAAATATCATTACACAGTTTACGATCAATTCTGCGATATAGTACAAATTCTTGTCACTAGGCATTGCTAGTACAAATTTGTACCGCCAGTTGGTAATTAACCTCAAAAGTTCATATGTTGGTTGTTATTGTTTGTTAAACGTGCAACAGCCAGATTAGGTAGTTTACACCACTCAGTAGATAGCAAACCCGCTCATGTCGGGGCCCTCAGGGGCAGCCAAAACTGCAATTCACCACAAAGAGACGCCAGCAGAGTCAATATACTCCAAAAGATACAGAGAAGACACACAAAGCTGATATATACACATCAGAGATCAAACCCTCCCGCAGCCCAAGAAGCCCTATATCTATCAAGATAAGAAGTAGTGTGTACGAAACAAAGCACCCTTATAAGCATGTGAGTATCCCTAAACCTAAATTCAAATCACCTAGCGATAGAGACTCTCACGAAAAAATTTCCCGTCAAAAAAGTTTGGAGAATATACAATGTGGAGAACTCTAAATTTAGCTCTGGAAGCTCATCTAGTAGTGTGATAGAGGTAAAACATGTAAAAATAGCCGATTTGTACCCGTCCCAAGTAGCCCGCAACAACAGCGCGCTATACGCATTACATAAACTTGCAGCTTACGAAAGTTTGGAGAAAAATCCTTTCTATTTACCACCTGATTTGGCCCTCAAATTCTCATTCGAAGGCCTGCCCAACTACAGTTCGCCGGAAAGCGAGGAAAATCTAGTTTCCAAAATTGCGAAAAACTCACCGTTCACTAACAGACGCGTTCGTGAACACTGAAGGTGCGGAAACAAGTGAAAATGCGGGAAAAAGCGGCACCGAGAGGCCGAAAAAATAAAAGAACAGTGAAAATGATGAGCAAAACATCATAAAAAATAATAAAAGTTCGGGAAATAATAATAAAAATCTAAATATTGTTAGGCAGAAACCTAAAATCAAACAATTTGACTCTGGGTGTAAGACATTACTGCTACCAAACTCAGTTACCGCGACAGTGTTGGGACACACCAGAGGGTGCATCAGAGAGCAATGACGGTTTTCAAGTTCCAAAGAGAACAAAAAAATTCAGAACTAACTTCTTGAAGTTACTAGAGCACATCTATAACAACGCACAACAAATTCGACCACATAAGTGACAACGAATCAGAAACAGACTCAGAGAGTGATGCTCCGCCAGTAAACAAAAAGATAAAGCCACTGCAATCAAGTCAAAAATAGACACAAAAAACACAAAACCCCCAGCGAAGAAAATGGAAAAAACTACTAAGAGAGGAAACACCCCCCCCCCTATGCTAGTTAATGGACGTACATATAACCACGATAATTTAAAAAAAATATTTAAAGGATATCATAAAGAAAAATATTCTGTGAAATATACTAATGCTACCACGGTAATTTTCCGCATCCCTTATGTACCTTTCGCATAGCCTTTCCAATCTCTTTATGGAAAACGATATCAGACTAATTGGTCGGTATGTTTTTGGGACAGGTTTGGGTATGAATACCACTTTTACTTCTATCCATTTTTTGGGGATATATCTCAGAGCCAACGAGGATCTGAATATACCCACCAGGGGCTCGATTCTTGAGTTTATTGGAAAATTTTCCCATGGGAAAAGATTCCACTACTTATATTCCCATGGTAATAGGTTATGCATTTCTCGAACTTGTCGGAATAGACATTCCCATGGAAATAGTAGTTTCACGTATGTCTGATATTAAGTCCAAGAATATTTCGAAACAACCAATAACATTAAAGATATTTTCAAATTCACTGTTGACATTTGTATTTTATTATGGTTTTTGGGTAACCGGTTACATGCCGAGCCTCCACGCTGGAGCAGGTGTCGTGCCGAGCAATCCCTAGCATGACCGAGGAACAAGTGAAAATATTCGATTATGTATAATTAAAACTTGTTGAGTTATTCCCATTTTTTCTTTTGTTGAAAAAAGAAAAAGTAGCTTTTGTATGGAAGAGCAACGAAAGTTTCGAGAAACTAAGAAATTCTTATTAAATTTACCACAAATTTCTCAATTTGTGTTATTTGCCAGTCCCTTAGCAGCTCCACAATTTCTGACTGATTTAAGAAAATCAGTTTATATAATTACTTAGTGAAAGAGAAGTAAAAATAATATAACTACATAAATAAAATAATATCAATCTGTAAATATGCCAAAAAATGTTTTAACTACAATTTCACCAAAAATCCAAGATATCCAATTATCTTTGGTTATGTCTAGACTTTCGTCAAATTTTCGACTTTAATACGCAGACTCTAGTACAATTCCCATTGTAAACACAATTTCCAATGCTCGTAAGCAGGGGAATATTTTCCCATACTTCTCATTGGAAAATATTCCACCGCTTATGTCGAGAATACGAAAACTGAATTCCTATGGGAAAATAAAATTTTCCCATGAGAATAAAAGTCGAGAATCGACCCCCAGGTGTGCGGTGTGAGTTCTTCCAGACCCCACTGAAGTAGGGGCTAGATAGATACCGTAAGAATTTTAATTTTTGTAACAAATATTATTTTACCATTATGTAAATCTCGAAAGGTTAATATTTAGGAAAACAAATATATTTTTTAGTTATTTCATCTTTTTATCGAAACATTTAGAGTTGACTCAAATTAAGTAAAAAAAACTGCGGATATACCAAAACCTCTTGGTGTAACTCAATTTTTCTGCTCTTTTCGAATATGTAAACATATATTCAAAATTATGATATACAGAGTGTTATTTTAGGTATCGAAGAATTTGTAAATTTTTTGTTAATCCGGACCTGGATTTTCCCTATTATTGATACGTCACTGGATTTGACAAATTAACGTGTACTCCTATACCAAATATTAAAAAATAATACAGCGTGTTTCAAAAATTACGAGCCTAGAAAGAAATCGGAAAAATTGATCTCGGTTATAAAGGGGGACAGATCCATGAAGTATGGATTTTCACCTATGTAATGCAGTTAACATATGCCACATACTTTGATTTTCTCTTACTATACGGAGAATGGTCGCACTGCGTAGCTTTCTGAGTGCCTTTTAAAAGGAGATAGAAAACTCCGCCATTTTGATGCCTTATTACGTGTTGCCTACATCTTGGGGAAATATTTTTAATATTTTGTTTGCTGTCAGTGTCAGCGAATATAATTTTTTTATAGCTGTTGTGTGGAGTGTTTTGCTCGTTTCGCCGTTTACCGTGATTTTTACCATTTTATTTGTGTTTACATAAACCCCAACGAACAAGTTTTTGAGGATTTATATATCATTTTGTGTTTTGGAGGTGATTTACACGATTATTTTTTAATTAATTGGTGATTGTATGATAATTTTTAGTGCTTTGTTGATCTCTTTTCATTATCTAAATACCAAGATGTATAGGCTACCAGTTTAACATTTATGAAATATATGTGTTGCCGTAACCTAGTAGTAAAGGCACAGTTTATTGCTAAAGAATCAGTTAGCTCACTCGCACCAGTTGAATATTCCAAAATAACATCCACTCCAGGGATACAAATTCAGGATGGGCAGAAGACTGCTGTTTGAACATAGGCGGTTGTCATATATTGTATTATCCGAGTTTCGCAGTGTATAAACTGGAACATTGAGATCAAAAGTGCCGACGCAGAGTGAGCAAACTGATTCTTTAGCTATAAACTGTGGTAAAGGCATCAAAATGGCCGCGCCCTATGTTGGGCGTGTCGGACCTCTCTCTTTCACCGTATAGTAATCAAAGTATGTGACATATGCCCATTTACCAATGAAACACCTTGTATGACATTACCTTAGAACGCAAAATGTAGAAATATTAAATATTCACGCATAAAATGTATTATCCTGTGGTCTAAATTTAGTCTTCTTTAACCCACTATAATATTTGAATTCACTTACTGTGGATCCACATTGGCAGTAGCTTCATCCATAACCAGAATTTTATTGTTTTTCACTATGGCTCTTGCAAGACAAATTAACTGTCTCTGTCCAGCGCTCAAATTTAAGCCGCCTTCACTGATGGTCATATTGAGATCAGGAAGTGCTTCTTTAAGTTCAACCTATAAAAGACTCATTCATTATAAACGTTTTTAAGTACACTAAATTATGCTTACGTGTTCCAACGCCTCCCATAATACGCTATCGTTGTGCTTCTCGAACGGATCCAGATTGTATCGTAATAAAGCCGAGAATAAAACTGGTTCCTGTGGTATAATCGAAATATTCGATCTCAAATCGCGCAAACCCAACAGCGCAGTATTGAAATCGTCAATGGAGATAGAACCATCTATAGGCGCCAGTCTAAACAACGAATTGATTAGCGTTGATTTTCCAGCGCCTGTTCTTCCAACTATCCCAATCTAAAATAAATTTAAATATTAAGAGTTATTTTCTTCCATCTTATATGACAAATTTCGAGTAAGGAAGGGCAAAGATGTATAAATTTGGTAACTATGTCACTCTTTGTTCGTTCTTTACTTGAAAATGGCATATGTTTAAAATTATGACTTGGTGTATGGTAAATACACACAATTTTTGAACTTAGTAGATACAGTCCTGGACTAAATATTAAGCAGACAAAAAAGGTGGGAGACTTTTTTTTAGCATATAACTTTTTCAAATATGAAATTTATTTCAATGTAGAAGTAAACTATTAAACACAAAAATAACTTAACAAACACCTTACAAGGGAACTTCAGAAAGAAATGGATGATCAGATTAAAGAAATCGGAATTGAAAAGAAGAAAAATTTACTAGAGATGAGAATGTTAGCTAAGGACAGAAAATAATTGAAATGGATGTAAAAAGAGAGAAAGTATCTCTGTAGTATGTCAATAGGGGACAGAAGGAATAAGACAAAAAAATACCTACCTTTTCTGCTGAACCAATTTCGATATTCAGGTCTTTCAATACTGGAGACAATTCTGGAGCATAACTGAGATAAGTGTTTTTGAAATGAATTTTTCCTTTGCTTGGCCATTCTCGTGGAGGTTTCTGTCCTGTTTCTAACGGATGCTCTTTCTCTAATTTCGTGTACTGCATCACTCTTTCAACACTAACCATGTTACTGGCAACGTCAGTGCCCTGCCTAACTCCGTATTGCACTAAACCTGTCAAGATGAGAATTTGAGAAATGACCAAGCCGACATGGCCGCTAAGGGTGTTTTCTAAAATTAATATATTATTTGTGGGTAAATTTTTGGTGTGATGTTTATTTCCTACCATCTTCGAATATAAGGAATTGATAAGTAACTAGTGCAAGGAAGATTGTACTGATTACATCAAAATAAAAACCAAAAGCGGTACTGCTAGCAATGAACAAAAACCATGTGCTCGTATGTTGATCTTGCAGAACGTCGAATTCTCTAATGAGTATTTGTTCTGCACTTGCAGATCTTATGGTTGACATACCATTCAAAGTGGCAGAAACGTGGGAAAACATTGGAGCCTTACCTGGAAAACAATGGAGTTTAAATGATAGTAAATTTTCAATTTTGCCTAATGTTTCTTGTGCCTTAAAACATTCAGAATATCTTACTTGTTCCTTCCAATCTCTTGATGGCTTGGGAACATTTCAAATATATGATTGTAAACCAGTAGAATATGGAACCAAGTACAATTGTTGGAACCATCATCCAAGGGGTAACTATGAAGACCGTAGTTAACACACCAAACACAATGAGGAAAATTCGGGCAGTATCGAATTGAGCACGAGGTAAAATTTCATCTATAGCTCCTATATCTTTTGAGAACCTGTTTAATATTCTACCTAAAATATAAAACCAACCTATTAGTACACTATACAGTATGGTTCAAATGAAAGGAATAAATTCATTATAATGGAAGTAGTTGGTTTTTCGAAAAAATGCTCGAACAGGTCAATTTTGTTTACCTTAAGCGCAATTTTTTAAATAAAATTCAATTTTCCCCCACTTCCCATTTTTGGGCAGTGACGTCATTGACAATTTTTTTAAATAGAAACCCCAATTTTTTTTTCTTGATTTTGATAGATCTTGCAATTTCCTACTTGGAAACGTAATATTAGAAATATCTGACATAACAATTTTTTTTGAAAAAAAGTCATTTCAAGATCAGATACATAAATTTTATGTTATTTTGAAACACAATAAATTAATAAAAGATAATTATTTGTAATTAAGTGCTTAATTTAAAAAAATAATAATAGTAATAATAATAATAATAAAACGAATTTAATGACAATTTCACAAATTCTTTTTATTATTATTTTTTTATTATTTTGTTAGATTAAGCATTTAATTACAAATAATTATCTGTTATTAATTTATTGTGTTTCAAAATAACATAAAATTTATGTATCTGATCTTGAAATGACTTTTTTTCAAAAAAAAATTGTTATGTCAGATATTTCAAATATTATGTTTCCGAGTAGGAAATTGCAAGATCTATCAAAATCAAGAAAAAAAAATTTGGGTTGCTATTTAAAAAAATTGTCAATGACGTCACTGCCCAAAAATGGGAAGTGGGGGAAAATTGAATTTTATTTAAAAAATTGCGCTTTAAGTAAACAAAATTGACCTGTCCGAGCATTTTTTCGAAAAACCATTTACTTCCATTATAATGAATTTATTCCTTTCATTTGAACCATACTGTATAGTCTATAATAACACTAATAACGAACAAAACCCCGATTTGGTATCTAATGCTCACATTTATATTTTAGTATCACAGTTATAACTAATAGTCCGTCAGATAGTGACAGGTTTAGGTGCCCCATTTTCGCATGCAAGCCTTGAAGAGGGTTGAAAAGTACAACGATTTTAAGTAGAATGAAAGAAAATTTACGAGTGGCTGCTGGGGATAACACATGGAAAATTCGATTTTCTCTAACAAAAACGAAAGGTTATTTCTTGCCCATTTTTCCACGCAAGCCGTTTTCACTATATGATTAATTAATAGAACTAGGCTTCGGAAAACCAAAGGCTTTAATGTTGCAAGTGGCTAAAGGCTTAAAATAAGGGTGTAATCTTCTAAGGAAAAATCGAGTTTTTGCCCGATTTTTCCACACAGGCCCAACGAATATATGAAAACGTACGTCGTCACTAGTTCGAAAAACATATTTTTTTGAATGACCCGAATGTACAATTGCATTTTGGGTTCGGAAAAATTTTCTGATAAGGAAAATCGAATTTTCCATGTGTTATCCCCAAGAGCCACTCGTAAATTTTCTTTCATTCTACTCTACATCGATGTATTTTTCAACCCTCTTCGAGGCTTGCATGCGAAAATGGGGCACCTAAATCGGTCACTATCTGACGGTCTATAATTTTAATTCATTTACTTGGGTCCCATTATATAACTAGTCTGGGAAGTCTGGCTTGTGAAAGAAAAAAACCACCTGGTGTGTAGAATAGAATTAACATAATGAAGGAGGGGCGGGCAATATCAACCACACCGACGGGAGTCATGGATACCATGTTGGATCTAACGACTCTCCACATTCTGCTGAAAAGGGAAGCCAGGATGGTCTCTTATAGAATCAATGCAATCAAGAACTGCAGTGGAACAAAACAAGGTTGATGAGTGAGATTAATTACTACATCCTGGGAATGGTCTCAGACTCGATAGTTCCGCGACAGCACATAAAAAGGTCATGTCTTGTCCTCATTCCAGAGAGAGACATGGAGCAGGGGGACTATGTATTGTACACGGACAATTTCAGAATTGAAAAAAGATAGGAGTTGGAGTTTTCGGCCAAAGTTGACTTATCAATAAACCTGGGGGTTCTGGCTACGATATTTCAAGCAAAAATGATTGCTATTGAATTGAAAATGGGAGAGTTTTATAATTTTCTTCCCGCAAAAAAGACTTCTTTTACGATTACTATCCAAAGTGGGCTTTTCGCTTCGAAAGTTGATGTTTTCCGTGAACTGACATTAAGTGTCAGGTTTGTCGCTTGCCGAGCGGAATTCGGTCAGTGAGTCGTGTTTACTTATTAGTTGTTAGTGTCTCATTCGCCACAGCTGCATAACATTTCATTCTCGCGAAAAAAATTAGACATTAGAGCGGCAAAAAAACGAGTGTTTTCGTAAGTCGATAAATTGTGGTGTTGGACTATTGAAAAGTAAGTGATATTTGCTATGAAATTTGTTTTGTTCCACATACTTTGATTTTCTTTTACTATACGGAGAATGGTCGCACTGCGCAGCTTTCTGAGTGCCTTTTAAAAGGAGATAGAAAACTCCGCCATTTTGAATCCTTATTACGTGTTGCCTGCATCTTGGCGCAATATTTTTAATAGGTGCGTTTTAATCATCCGCTTCTGCTTCGGAATTGTCGGTTTTCTTGTTTTAATCTGATAGGTTAGAACGACTGAACCGACAATTCCGGAAGCAGAAGTGGATGATTAAAACGCACCTGATATTTTGCTTGCTGCTGTCAGTGTCAGTGAATATTATTTTTGGAGTCACAGTTTATTGCTAAAGAATCAGTTAGCTCACTTGGACCAGTTGAAAGTTCCAAAATAACATCCACTCCAGGGATACAAATTCAGGATACGCAGAAGACTGCTGTTTTATTATAGGCGGTTGTCATATATTGTATTATCCGAGTTGCACAGTGTATAAACTGAAACATTGAGATCAAAAGTGCCGACGCAGAGTGAACGATCTGATTCTTTAGCTGTAAACTGTGTCACAGGGTTCAAAATGGCCGCGCCCTATGTTGGGCGTGTCGGACCTCTCTCTTGCCCCGTATAGTAATCAAAGTATGTGTTTTGTTCGCTCAATTGACACGTTCTCAGTGTTGTCTTAAGATTTTTATGCGGCTAAATCTAATTTTTTTTATCGTTGGAAATCTAATCTAAGGTTCGTTTCAGGGTGACTCGGGACATGCCCCGAAAATATATCAAGAGGTTTGGTTATAGGCCATATCAGAATTATGAAAGCAAAAATCTGCAGAAAGCTGTTCAAGAAAGGCTAGAGAAAGGAACCAGCTATAGAAATTTGGAGACTAAATATGGAATACCTAAAAATATAAGGTTTGTTCCAACAGCGCCCTTTCTGATGTGTCTCTGACTCGTGCATGGATGCATTCGTAAACTAATCACTGTGCATGTCAGTCCGTTTATTCGTCCGTTGTTTAATCAGCGACTTGTCCTTGTTGGAACGCAAAATGCAATGGAATTTGACAAACCAAACATGTTTGGTCAATTGGTATTTTAAAATTATTTAAAATACAACAACATACATTTATTTAGCTCTCTATATGAATGTATAATTTTGAAACATTAAGATTGTTTATTTTTATTAAAAATAAGTACGCATTTTACAAAAAAAATCCGCATACAAGATAAGAACAAAAATTATTCATTTCAATTAAAAGCAATAGAAACCCAAGCCACTCCAAGCTAACTTAAAATCCCAACAATTACAAAAAAATATCACGAACGAGAAGAGACGTTCAAATGCGCATGTGCTGATAAATTGTACAAGCCATGAAGCTCATCGTTTTGACAATCCGCCGACTCATTCATGTACGAATCAGAAAATACGTTGGAACGTTTTACTGACAGTTCATCGGATCATCCGTGGCTCTGTAGGAACGGACTATTTTCAATGCGCATGCGTCTGACGTCCTTCTGATGATCAGATTCGCTGTTGGAACAAACCTATAATAAATCAGCATGTGAAAAAACCTAGTGGACAATTAGCCATAACGAACGTTGAAAAAAACAAAATTGTTAGATATTTGATGTGTCTTGCAGATTGGGGATTCCCATTAGATCCAATGGTCGTGCGTATTTTGGTGAAACAGTATTATGATAAAAGAAGTGTAAGCATCAGAAGATTTACCAATAACTCGCCAGGGCCGAACTGGATGAAATCTTTTCTAATTCGCCACAAAAATAATTTAGCACTGAGACTTTCGGATAATATAAAATGAGCAAGGGATGCAGTTGATAGACAATCAATCAATTCATATTGTGATGAATTAAACACATCTTTAGAAAATGTTCCTCCTTCGCATATCGGTTATTACGACGAGACAAACTTTACTGATGACCCTGGCTGTCAGCAAGTCGTAATTCATAGGTCCAGCAAACATGCAGACCGTATTCTTGACTCCAGTAAAATATCGACATCTGTCATGTTTGCCATCAGCGGATCTGGTGAAATGTTACCCCCGTATGTGGTATTTAAATCAAAACATCTTCATCAAAACTAGGTGAAAGATGGGGGCTACAGGGCACTAGATATGGAAAAACTAAGAGTGGATGATTCGATTCGAACCAATTTGAAGAATGGTTTTTAACAATAGCATTAGCTTACTTCAGAAGACTTCAAGGGCCGAAGATAGTTATTGGTGACAATCTGGCAAGCCAAGTCTCCCAAAATGTCATCATGGAATGTCAAAAAAAATAACATCAGATTCGTTTTACTTCCTCCAAACAGCACGCATCTTACACAACCGCTTGAAACTGCATTTTTCAAGCATGTTAAGCAATCGTGGAGAAAAACTCTGGGCGAGTAGAAGAAAAAAACCAGAATTTCCAGGATTATTGAGACAAGCTTTGTTAAATAATGCAGACAAATTGGAAGATAATAATGCTGGTTTTCGTGGTTGTGGCATTATTCCACTTGACAGGGAACAAGTTTTGAAGCGTTTTCATCCAGAAATTGTCAAGAATCTTAGAAGACTTGGACTGAAACACTGACTGATTTTCTGAAAACCCAGCCAAACCCACAAACCCCCGCAAAAAAGGCAAAAGGAAAGAACATTCCCGTAACACCTGGTAAAAGTGTGGTGTGCCAATCAATAATATCTGATTCTGAGCCCGAAAATGATTCGGAATCTGATGGCAGCGAAATTTCCGAAGAAAATATAAACGACACCGAATCAGAGGGAGAAGTAAGACATTCACCAAATTTAGAAAGCGACGGAAAAAACCAGGCGTTAAAGATTTGGAAACAGATGACTTTGTCATTGCAAAATTTACAGAGGCAAAGTTTTTTAGCAATTTTGTAGGTAAAATCTTAGGAAACAATGATGGACAATTGTGCATTACTTTTTTAAGAGAAAGCTCCAAAGTGGAAAATACCTTCATTTTTCCACAAGTTCCTAATGAATCTGTTATGGATATCTCTCAAATTCTTAAGAAACTTCCACAACCAGGGCAACTTCGGAGAGGCAGTGTAAAATTTCCATGTTATGTGAATATGAAAATTTGAAAAACTGGGTAGACGATAAGTTTATATCGAAAAAATTGTTTTTACTGTATTTGATCTTAATAAAAAGTATTCTTTTTGTGTTTTCATCATTTTCTAAGATTTTCAATGATAATAAGTAGATAAATGCATTTTTTAAATTGTGATTTTTGTTCCATCTCAACCAGAGTAGGTGAGATAATGTTTTCACTGCAGAATAAACGCATGTGCTGAGTAATCCCACAGACGGAGTGAATTGAGACACTTTTTGAATAAAAAAAAATATTTATAATTCAAATTTTTTTCTTCTATCGTGTGAACGTATTACGAAAATATGTAGAAAGATAATAGTACCTGTAATTTTCATATAGAATGATACTAACGTGAATTATTTATAATACACTGTCAATTCCGTCCTTATTCACCCCGTTTGACGGTACCCTAAAGTGTTTCGGTACCTAGAATAAAGTTACTTTAATATGAGTTTCGGCACACAGCGTTGTAGAGGGCACAGAAAAAGCCGACGCGCTCGCTAAAAGAGGAACCGTATCTCAGTTCATAGGACCAGAACAATTCCTGAGCATTGTAAAGAGCACTGCCAAAGGAATTATCTCAAAATCGTCGGAGGGTGTAACACTCACGAACTAGAGAGATACTCCAGAGCTAATTCATTCATAGGCGTTTACACCCAACCTCTGCTCAGATCTGGGAATGGCGTGGGGAAGAACTATGCATTCTCACGAGATTGATGACAGAATAGGTTTGCTACAAACATCTGCTCCGTATTGCAAATAATCTATGTTCCATATCTTTAGATTCACCCGACTGGAGCCTACCGCCTTTAAGCAAGTCTCACTTAATTCATCAATGTCTTTCAATGAAAGGTGTGGTCTGTACAGTAATATCAGAGACAACAGAGACGTGTAACTTAATAGGAAAATATGTTCGGTGGTCCATTTAAATTACATATATGACCCTCTTTTTCTTTTACATTGATCTTTACATATGTCTATCTCTCTCCAATAAAACTAACACCATTTTCAGAGGGCGCTGGTGTTGCTGGTTTTTTGACGTCAAAATATCGATTAAAACTGACAACTGACAACTGACAATGTTATGAATGTTGTTATGAACATGTGTATTTTATTAAAATTAATTTAATTTGGGCCCCGTATATTTCTTTGAGTCTGATTTTGTTGTTTAATTAATTTTCTTTGGGGGGGAATGTTTATTTTTGCATATTATTTTTTGCATGAAGCAATTTCTGGAACCAAACTCGCGTTTTTGTACACATTTCTTTCTAGAGGTAAGTAATTTCCAATTTATTAAGAAAACCACTGTATAATGTGTGTGTTTAATAATATATTACACAATGACTATAATTATTTTAGGTGAATTGGAACAGAGATCCATTGTTACAGCTACTTGTGTTCATTAAGTAGGTAGATGAATGTCTGGACAGCTTTAATGGCAGCACAAAGTTCCTATCTATTAGAAAAGTAAAATGTATGCTGAGTAAAAAATCTGCACATGTAGTATTGGCAAAGGACTTTTGAAATGATTAGAGATTGGCTATTTCTTACATACACCTACCTCTAATAGCCACTCTAAAGGAAGAAAAAAAATTGAATCACAAAAGGGCAGAATTTTAAATCAGGATGCATTGGAAAATAAATTTGGGGACATCAGGTCGGTTTTGGATTTTAGAGAGAGATCAATCTCAAGAAAAGTTTAATTAATCCTGCAGAACAACCAGTAGTTTAAGTAGGATTTGCTATAACTTTATTAGAAGATTTCCTTGATAATAAATTGTAATATACCAATTGTTTCAAATGAAATTGAAGAAGAGAAATTAGATTTTTCATGGGTAAAATGTTATATTCATTCAAACATTGTAAGGTAATCTGTAATAAAGGGAATGTGGAAAATAGGTATACCCTGGTGGTGTAAGATACAGGTAAGGGGCAATGACAAAAAAATTACAAAAATGTATTCATCTTTAAATAGTGTTTATTATTATTATTATTTGCTATGTTTGAAAAGTACCTCCTGCTGCAGAACAGATCGAATAGATTAGACTACTAATTGGAAAAGGTCCACCTAGTAACCAAATTAGGAGACTAGGAAAACTTTTACATGACTGCGGACACAACAGGAATGCACACGCACAAGTTACACAAACAAACGAAATAACAGGGGTAAGCCTTCAGCAATGTCCTGTTTAAATGATGATAGTATGTTATCCTTCATTCCCTTTTAGAAGGCATGGCAACTTACTTAACTCGGGCCTTATAAATTATTTGTGTTGAGTGTATGTGTGTTTGTTTCGTTTCCATGGTTTCTATTAAAATAAACAGTCATAACATATCCATACCTTTTTGCCAGACTAATGTAAGCGACATTTGTTCAAATGGCACTTATGATAGTCTGGCAAAAAGGTATCGATATACTCTATACTTTATAAAATATTTGTTACATTAGTTTTTAAATATATTTTGAATATATAACAACTGTTACTTTCTTTGTAATTTGTCACAAAATGATAGGAGGTACTTTCTAAAGGAAGCAATTGTAGTTTGTTTTTCTGTACCTTACAAAAATATAATTTATAGAAAAAGAGTTTGGTGTATTATTTTTCCAAGTTTAAATATTTAATAATCAATAGAATTTTCAAGTTTTTTATAGCGAAATTTACAAGAGTAATAAAAACTATGTTCACTGCTTATATTAAACTGATTAAAACTTCCTTTATTAAAATGATGGTGACATATCACTTTAGTGTCACAAAATTACAGATTTGACATATATTTTAAATAAAACTACAGATAGGTATTTCTTGATTTTTGAAAAAAAAATTGCGGATTAGAGTCAAAATTTAAAAAAATGGCCTTTCCAAGTTGGAACTATTTTTTATTGCGGATGTTGAAAACTACCTATTACTTGATAGAAGCGTAGTAATTTCGATTCGCGGATGCTCTTTTGTGCGTTTATCGAGAATTTGATTTTATTTATCGCAATTTTATTTGTGTTTTCATATTTTACATAGGTTTTAAGCGTTTTATTGATTATTTATTAAAGACTATTTATGAGCATATTGCAGACAAATATGTATTTTAAATCAATAAATATTCCTAAATTTTATGTTGTGTTTACTGCAATAATCAGTAGGTAAGGCAACTTAAGTTTGTTTGGTAGAAGTAGTGATATTAAGCTGAGAAGCAAGAATGTATATTCTTTGATCTGTGTCAGTTGGCCGGGAAGCGATTTTTTTTAAAAATTATGTTTTAATTTCAGGCAACATTCGCAATTCATTTTTTACGTGCGTTCGGTTACGTAATTTTTTTAATTATTTTGATATTTCAGTATAACAAATATACAATTTTTTTGTTAGTGATGTTTTCTTGTGCAAATATGGGAAAAATATATTTTTTAAGTTGTTTTTCTATAGGTAAACATACTGCATTTTTCCAAACAACAAAATAGGTATATGGTTTTAGATCACTTCAATTTTTCATTATATTTTTCTCGAAAAATGCTGTTTTTCTATTTTTTTTGCGAAAATTTACTATAGAAACTAGTTATTTTTGGGTGTTGACAAATTTTTGTAAAACTCGTACCTGAACTCGGTGAAATATTCACTTATGTTCCAAAAAATAAAAAAATTGAGGTTAGAAAAAAATGGTTATATTTTGAAAAAATCCGCACTTTTTTGAAAAGAATTAGTCTCTACCACATTCAAAATAGTTGTATTTTTTTTCTAAATGGCTTACTTTTTGTGACACTAAAGTGTTATGGACCAATGATTATTTAAATGATAAAAAATTGATGTTATTGGAAGCTTTAATATTTTTTAATATACAGTGAAACAATAGTTTTTGTTTCTCCTGTAAATTTGTATAGTTACACGTCTCGCTGGATTGTCTCTGGTAATATATAAGTTAGACAACAACAATCTGGATTTTAAGTGGTAGGCGATGAGATCATCTTACTCATTTTCAACCTAACCTAATGAAGATATGGAGATATAAATATAAAACTGCTGAAAAACCTTATTGTATCGGATTCTAAAAGTACTGTACCTGAAGAATTGGTATCGAAGAATCTCATCGGAGCTTGAAGAACGTTGTTGAATAAGCGGCTATGCAGAACCTTCGAAGCCGTCATACAGATGTAGTAAAACAAGAACGATCTTATCGTCATCAAAATGACCGAACTAACGACAAATGCTGTGTACATATGAATATAATATTCTCTCGGCTTTATTTCATCTATCGATTTTCCAAACATAGTGGAATGATTAATAGTGCTATTCAGCAAGTTCATTGCAATTTTTGTAGTAGATATTTCATGTAATGTTGCTGCTGAGGTTTCTGGTAGTGGTAGGTTAGATGGTAACTCAGTATCAGAAGCATTTTTGCCTAGTATTGGACTGTTTGTCCCGTTGCTATTCGATTGGGATAGTTTTACTTCATTGTTGACCCTAAGAAAAGGTTTTTTTAAAGTTTTCAAATATCTGAGCAAATACCTTTGTACCTGACCTATAAATAGGTACAAAGCAAAAAAATGATATGCCCTTTGCCTAGCAATGTGAACGAACAAAAACTGACGTGCACAGTTAGGACAAAAACCTTATTTAAAATCTTGAAGGAACACAATGTGCACAGATCAGTTCAAGCGCCTAAGAAACAGATCAAATTGGAAATAGATGAATTAAACTATTAAATGTTGCATTTCTTACCAATAAGTCATCCACAGATCTGCAGAGTTTATAACTACTTGAGCTGAAATGAATATAGAAATAGTTATTAGTAGGAATAAAATGCTACCACCGGCTCTCCAATAATCGATATACGTATCAGAAGAAATGTTGCCTTTTTCTATCAATTCATCGGTTTCTTCTGGCTCGTCTCCAGCTACGGACTATGAAAAGAAAAAAGTAATAGAATGACACCAAACATTCTTTATTCTAGTTCACAGAATTACTCACTACAAGAGAATTCACCGACTGGAGGGTAAGATTATCACTGGGAGCTATTTCCATTTTCTTATTTTTTTCATGTTTTTCTTCTTTTTCTGCTTGTTGTTGAATTAATTTCAGATCTTTTTCCGTCATGTCATTAAAGTTGCCTACTTTTGCGATTTTTCCCTAAAAATAATAAAAAGTAGAATTAAAAATTATTATTTCTAAAAATAAACGACACTAAAATTGAATGCGCGGAGATTCTTTAAACTGGAAAAATTCCCACGCATCTACTAGATTACCTTTATCTGTGCAATAGTTTAATGTTAAATTACTTATGTTTATTAATTATTAAATAATTAACCTTTAACATAAAAGCAACTTTAAACAATGTTTATAAATCATCAACTCCATCTTGTCCCATCGCAATTCTTCATTGCATTGACTATCCACCTGCAGACGTCTATAGGAGACCATCCTGGCTCCAATTTACAGATGAAAATCCCTAGATATTTCACCTCTTTCGCAAAAATAAGGGTTTTCCCAGCCAAGGTAGGTTGTCGAAGCTTGTCGAGCTTTCTTCTTTTAGTAAAGGGGACGATAACAGTATTGTTAAATTCTCCTCTCACCTAACCAGTGATCAGATAATTTCTTTATACTCTTGCGTTTCTTCAGCACTGTCGAGACTTGTGACACAGTTAGCGACATAAAAACTGTTAAGTAATCTAGTTATAGTTGGTCTGGAGTATTTTAAATAAGAACTTTCTTCGTAAATGGTAATCAATAACGGCTCCTAAAAGGAAAGGGCTGCAAGTAATACCAAACACCACTCTTGCATGTCTGTAAACGGTTAGATTTCCATCTTTATCGTACCAATAAAATCGCAGGAAGTCTCTGTCAGATTTGCAAAAAGGCTTTCCTGATATCTGATACTACTCCTATTTTAAACATACGAAATCTTAAAATTTTTGAAGGTATTAACTTTATAAAATTTAATCCCTTCTCTATGCATTGGTTGAGAGCCGAATGATTATTTTCTTTCGCAGAAGCGTCAAATACTGGTCTAATCTTGGTAGTAGCACTACTTAATTTAATAACGCGACGATGCGCTAAATAGTGGCCATAATTAACTATTTCTTCTGAAGGGACTTTTTCGATAATATTTTTTTCAAGCCAATCCTTGAAAACCTGGTGATAGTCATCATAGTACCCATCATTTTTGAGTGTTTTCTTAAGACTTTCTAGACGTTTAAGTGCTAAATTTGAGTACTTTGGTAACGGAGGATAACCCTCTATCCATGGCATGGACACCTCATATCTTCCATCGTGTAGAATATTAACTGTTTTTAAGAAATTACTTTTCACCGCTTCTTCTATTTTTTTTTCTGAATTTAGTCTCCGCAGGATCAGTGATACCTAATGCATCAAGACTCCAAAGATCAGTTACATTTTGATTATTGCAAACTAGTGAAGTTATTAAAGCAGTAAATATCTTTATTATCTGCGAACAAAATTTTTTCAGATAAAATCCATCCAAGTAAGGTCTCATAAGCAACTAATCCGCAGCTGAGTTCATATCTCTTTCCAGTGAATAATTTGCTCTAAATATCTGCACCAACTAAAATATCTATTAGGCCATCTACAGTGTCTGACAGATCTACTCCAAATGAACGAAGTTCATCGATCCAAGGTCCATTTTTAATGCAGGGAATATTATTACAAATTATTTGTTGATCTAGAGCTTCAAAATTACAGATATGTTTGTCATTAAAACGGCTTACACGAATTCTGTAGCATGTATGAGATACTGTTTCGGTTATTGTTTCACCAAACAACGAGTGGACCATCTGCTCGATTCTTAAAGGACTATATTCCATCTCAGCAATAGTGCATTTACTAATATAAGACCTTTGGGATCCTGTATCAAATATTAGTCTTGCGTATCGATTTTTATGAACTCCAATCAATTTAACCTTTAAAGTTTGTAGAAATACATGTGTAAAGGTACTATTGGAAAGTGAATTTTCTATTTATACTGGAACAGACCTTTGTGTTGTATCGGAGTCTTTCTGGCATATAATATGATTGTATCTACCATTACATTTAGAACACTTTTATCGAACTCGACATTTCTTAAATATATGTTCGAATTTTAAACATCTGAGACAACAACCTTTACTGATAACTTTCTGCTTTCGATCTTCATATGATAATTTGAAAGCATTTGGACAATCTTCATTAAAATGTGATTTTTCACAAAAAATGCAACACTTCTCGTTTAGGTGGACTAGGGCACTAGAGAAGGTACCATATTTTTATCAATAGAAGTATCTTTCTTCTTGTGAATTTCAAAACCAGTGACAACCATGTTGTATTTCTCTTCATTATTGACCTCTTTTTTGAGAAATGACATTAAATTTTCTAAGCGATCTTTAAGTGATAGTTCTTCGTTATAATAACTGCTTCTTTGCCAGACTTTAAGCAGATCATTGGGGAGGCACGATTCAACTAACGGATATAAATTGCTGAACAAGTTTCTGTATTTACATCCAACGTTTCTAATGATCTAAGCTGACATCCTATCTTATCAAACAAATAACTTAATTTCCTTTTACTATTTAAGTTATTTAAAACAAGTTTTAGCAACTCTATCACATAATATTCTACTAGAAGATCTTTTCTACCAAATCTACTTCTAAGGGTTTCTAAAGCTTTAGGATAATTGGCTGCGGTTGGTGGGAAACTTTCGACTATCTGTCGAGCTCTAGAATCAGGAATTGTAGAATGTATTAAATAATAAAATTTACCTTCATTTGCCATTTCAGGGTCGCTGTCGATTCGTTGAAATTGACCCCAAAAATAAAGCCAATCTTTAATATCACTTCCAATTTTCTTTATCTCAATCTTGGGTAATTTTATTTTCTGTTTACATTGACTCTGGTTAGGAAATTCAGATTGAACACTTCTGTTGTCTTCTTTAAATAGCAAGCTTTCTCCCATCAGGCTTAGACTGTGAAATTTGGTAACATAGGTGTTAACTAATGCTATTTCAGAATCAATGGAATCTGTATCTTTATCAAAGCTTAGGAGATGTTCTACTAGTTGTTTCACAAATCAAATTAAATTTATTTTCTAAAAGAGCCATACTACTTCGAACTTCTATGACGATAATACTTGACTGTCTAATTAACTCTAAATGACTTACGTTGCAATTCCAATGATTTCTCGGTTTTCTTCATGTCTGTCTGAGTAGATCTACTGTTAAGTCCTTGGGCGTTTTGGATGCCTTGTCACGGTCGCCAAATGTTAAATTCTCCTCTCACCTAATCAGTGATCAGATAATTTTTTTATACAGGCCCCCAAATCGAAGAGAATCACCCAAAGAAAAATGATTCTTAATCTGACTCTATCAAAAAAATCACACTGACATCGGTTAGTATACAGGGTTTAACATCATCTTATTCCTCTCGCAACATCTATTGATCTTATTTAGGACTTGTTGAAGGATAATGGAGATCACCTCTTCGTACTTTCCCTTAATTATGATAAACAGATAGCATTAAAAATCTACCTCCTGCCAAGAGATTATCTACCAGATTATCCACCAGAATGGTCTAAAGTAGGAGTTAAAGTACGGTGCCTTGTGGATATCCTCTGGCGGACCTGAAAGTGACCGTCTCTCCCTGCAGTGATGTTCCGGTTTGACAGAATGCTTTTGATCCAATAAGAGGTTAGTTTGTCGATTCCTCTTTTTTTAATAGAAGCGAACACAGACTAAGGAAGGTTTTTATTGAATGCGTCTTCTATGTCTAGGAAGGTACCCAGTGTAATCTCCCCGCATATAAAGTGTAACAAATTCAATATCAATATAGATTTAACATGAAAAAATTATATTAATGATTGTGTCTTGCATCAATAGTACTTACATTATTAATTATTACAATGAGATCAGCGTCCTTTATGAACTGCAACTGATGGGTGACCAAAATTCTCGTTTTGCCGCTCAAATAGTCCTTTATGCATACATCAAACAAACGCTTAGCGACTTTGGTATCTACAGCGGACAGTGGATCATCCAATAGATAAATATCAGCTTCGCTATAAACGGCTCTAGCTAGATTGACTCTTGCCCTTTGTCCCCCACTTAGAGATGTTCCTCTTTCACTTACCAATGATTTGTCGCCAAATGGGAATTGCTTAAAATCTTTTTCTAGGGAACATACCCTAACGATTTGACGATACCTACAATTTATTGTTTAAAAATATGGTAAAAAAATGTTCAAGCTTCAACCTTTAAGAGAAGGTTGAACCAAAGGTATCAGATAGGAAGAAATAGGCTTTGTTTACATTAAGTATTATCTGCATGTCCGCCACATAATCCTGACGAGACGATATTCACATGTTGACAGATCTAATACGAGGCAAAATTAAAGCTCGCTGTGGTACATATTTCTCTAGAACAAGGCGGAATCTGTGGCGGAACAATAACCAGACTGGCAGTTAATAAAAGAAGTGAATTCATTTTCTCAAATGTGACCAATTTAGAAATAAACAAAGGAAAAAGAGAAAAACTCAAAGTCAGTGTTTTATTTCCCAAGTGCACGTTACCATTTTTGCTTGAATATCTTCACACTCTCAACCTCTGCTAATGTGTGTGAGTGAATTTTATATAGCCGGCAGACTCCATTAGAGATTGGAGTATATATTGTCTATTTTTGCTGATGAGTCCTAATAAGAACGAAACAGGTCCAGGAATGACGTTCTCCTTAGGAAGCATAAACAAAGAGTGTTGAAAATGGCTTCCTATTTATCCTTTGCAGTATCAGCCAAATGAGTAGTTGTTTTTAGGAGGGAAATAGTTTCTCGTTATTTCTGTGACAGGGACCTTAAATTTTTCTCTTTTTTCTTTTTTGTTAATTTATAAACTACTTTACACATGACAATAAGTTCTGCGACCAGTATGCTTATAGACGATCCACTTAGACTTATGCATTACCACGCCTATAAATAGCATGTTGAAACCTATTGCTTACAGCAAGGCCGTAGCCAGAGGGGATCAAAGGGGATTGATCCCCCCGAAATAAAAAAAAAAGATATTTATTTTAGACTTTTAATAAGTATTAATGAGACTGCAGTTATATACAGTGCGCCCGTCTCACTTTGTTGTTATACACAAAATAATAGTTAATCGCTACAAACAAAATTCTCTACCTACTGTTATTTTTATTATGCAGCGACATCTATTAGGAAGCGGCGAAACTACGTGCTACGCCAACTACATAAGCAACGCAACTTCGGGGACGTGCTCGAACTGCATTTCGAGAATATTCGATAAGCAAAGAATGAGACGGGTTATTCTTGATGTTTCGTCTGCGGAATATATAAGCGAGCCGTCGAGCACGGAGAGGCAGTTCTGTCTTGGAAAGTGATCCAATGCGATGCGACTAAGGCGATATTAGCGAAGTAATAGTGAAATGTGTGAAATAATAGTGCTGTGAATTAGTATTGAAGTAAGTGGTATTATAATTTTTGTAATTTAAATTAAAATTAAAACGATTTAATGCCTAAGAGTAGACTACCTACTCGAAGTAAATATTTGTGTACAAATGAAATTAATACTTGGCTGTTTTCTTAATTGTTACAGGTCGATTCAACATTTGAAATGGCAAAAGGACGCAAGAAAATACATTATTCAAATATTTGTTCAAAAAATCTAAACCTGGTACTGATAGTGAAGGTTCTACTGAAAATCAGTGTTTTCGACAGTGATACTGCTACAAGTACTTCTATTACTTCTGCTGCCGTTCCTGGGACTGTGGATGATGTTTCTCAGCATGTTTTAGATGTTGAAATCTCCTTGGATGCCAGAAAAGACATTCAAGTTTCCAGCAAGTGACGATAAAAGAAAGCTAAAATTTCAAATGCAATGATTTGAGCAGTTCTCGTGGTTGGTTTACACGAGTACAGGGCAACAAGGTGCTTTATGCAAATATTGTGTATTATTTTCCAGAGATTGCGCAGGCAAAGGCTTTCATCAGCAGTTGAAATCCTTAGTTACTCAGCCGCTTACTAAATGGAAAGATGCTGTACATGATTTCAAACATCACAGTGAAAGCTAGTACCACAAATATTCTGTATTATTGGCTGATAATTTTATGAAGGTATATAATAAATCTCAACCAAATATAATAAGTCAGATTGATAGCGGATACCTAGCGCAAATAGCTGACAATCGGAAACGGCTCATTCCGATTATTGAAACAATTAAATTATGTGGACGTCAAGAATTGGCACTGAGAGGTACGTGCGACTCAGGTCCAATAAAAATTAATGATGCTGAGCCAGTAACAAATGATGGAAACTTTTGTGCTATCTTACGGATGAGAAGCAGATGTGAAGACTCAAATCTAATAAAACACACAGAAAATATGACGTTAAACGCTACCTACCTAAGCCCGACCATACAAAATGCACTTATTGCAATTTGTGGTGAAATAATACAGAAAAAACTTGTGCAAGGATTAAATCCTTGTTGACGAAACTACTGATGTTTCACGACAAGAACAGATGTGCATTTGTCTAAGATATGCCGAGCCAAAAAATAATGGATTTTTTAACTTTTGTAACAGGAAAAAGGAAGATATTTAGCTAATGCAATTTTATCTGAATTAAAATCTTTGGGAGTAGATTGCGAGTATTTAGTCAGACAAGGATATGATGGAGCTTCTTCGATGAAAGGAAGTTTTAAAGGTATGCAAGCAGTAATTCGTAAGTCACATCCAGAAGCCTTAAGCGTTCATTGCAGCTCACATTCATTGAATTTAGCTCTGGATCATTCTTGCCAGGTTCAGCCTATTCGAAATACTATTGGAATTACAAAATCGGTTGGAAATTTTATCAAGTCCTCGGCAAAACGAACCAAGTGTTTAAAAGATAATATCGAAAAAACCTTTTCTGAAACACAATGGAAAAACCTTACGGCAATGTGCGAGATCCGCTGGGTAGAAAATCATGATGGGTTGTTGTTAAGATTTAAAGAAATTTATAAACCTATTGTTGTTACACTAGACGACTTAAGCACTAACATGGATTCTGAAACATCGTCAAAGGCTAATTATTTTCTGAGATCAGTCATTTCAATTGATTTTGTTATGAGTTTATGTTGCTAAAGAATGTTATTCTCGTACACACTGACACTATGCAAAATACTTCAATCGCCCCTATGTGATTTGGCAGCAGCTTTACAACATGTCGATTTAATTATAAAGACTATTGAAGATCTTGGCGACACTGCCTGTTTCTACATGTACTCCTGAGAGGACTTTCTCTTCTATGAAACACCTCAAAACTTATTTGAGAAACTCCACAGGCCAGGAAAGACTAAACGGTTTAGCGTTAATGTTAATCCCTCGCAGAATTGACATCGACACTGAGGAGGTAATTGATTTGTTCGCTGCAAAGAAAGCTAGAAAACTAAATTTAATTTTGTAATAAGGTGTTAATATTTCTGTAATGGTTTTCTAATAAATATATATGATAAGTAATACCATTTTATTTCTTTTATTAAAACGATTTTATGTTTTTCTACTGTTCCACCAAATCAAACCCCCCGAAATTATTTTCTGGCTACGGCCTTGGCTTACAGGTACCACTGTTGTCGACTTTCGTGATTTGCAGAAATACAGGGGTGACTAGAATCATCTAGAATTGTCTGCTACTACTTATTGAGTAAAATACTAACTTGTATCTATTATAAGGCTTCCCAAACAGAATATTATCCCTCACATTGGACACAAATAACCAAGGTTCTTGGGACGCGTAAGCGATCGTTCCATTCACGCTCATCTTTCCAGACGTTACCGTAATTCTTTTGAGCAACAATTGCAAAAGGCTACTCTTTCCAGCTCCTACGTTGCCAACTACGCAACATAATGTGCCCGATTGGACATGTAAGTTGACATTTACTAAAGTTGGTGCGATTGAATTCGGCATCCAACTAGCTGTTACGTGGTGTAATTCGATGTCTCCAGTGTCTTTTTTAAGTCCTTCCTCATAATTAGTTTCATCTAAACGTGTAATATGATCGATATTAGGTTCTTTTGAATTTGTGGTAGAGTTGGTTATACTTTGCATTTCGGTTTCATCGAGTAAAAGAAATTTTTCGATCCTAAAGGAAAAATATAATTTTCATTAAAAAAAAAATTGATTAAATATACATAAAACGAATAAATAATATAAATTTGGAACAAAAATTAGCTGGTACAAACCTTCCAATCGAAACTTTAGCTTCGTTATAAAATGTTAATCCTTTCGGAAAGTGAATACACATGACGTATGTGAACGTATTAAATAGTTGAGCCATGGAAAACACCATATCTCCAAATATTGGGTTTCCGGCCAATGCAAATGTTACTACAGTTACGTAAAGACTCAACTTCTCTATAAACGCGCCCATAGCAGATAGAACACCATTTACGTAAGAAGTTTTTGCAATAAAACTCACTTCTGATCTAAAAATTTTTCTTTCATTATTAAAAAGGTAATTTAAAATAGTGTTTCATAAAAATATCTAACGTGACGATGTTATGGGTTTTACGCGGTTTTTAGTTTGAATTTCATGATTTTCTTGTTATTGTGAACTCAGAATTGACGTCATCGACCTTGAAGCCTTGAACACGTGCAAAAAATTTGGTCTTCGAAACATAAATTATCGACGCGATGTTGTCAGTTCTACTGAACAAGAAAGAGTTTTCATATTGGGATCTGAAGATAAGCGTTGCGCTCTCTACTGTGATCTAATGAACTTAATATAGTGACCATTTGACATTTGACGTTCTGTCAAGTTTTGTTTATTGTATCTGGACAGGGATTCTTATGTTCGTACTCAACACGTAACGAATTGAATAGAGAGAGAGAGAGAGACATTAACATACTTATCGCATCTTATCGCATTCTTTGGAACGGAAATAATCGTCTCAAAACGTGCCGAATTGAGAGATGAGAATCCCAATGCAGCATAGGGATCACGACACTCGACTCGACCGCAATTCGAAAAAGGATTCATGAAACTCGATCGAGTTGATTTTCGTTTACTATCGGTTTTTGAAGTCATTTGAACTACTACCAACATAAACGTAATGTTCTGTGTCAGTTGCGTTATGTTTTGTGGTTGCGTTATGTGTCCTGTGACTGTGACTGCATTGATAAAATTATGTTCATTAACAGGTTTTAATATCGCAATATGAGTTCCGTCTATAGCACTAACTGTACCAGGAAATCCCCATCTATTTAAAAACTCTAATTTAATATCTTGTTCATTTGCAGTTGGAAATTTTATTTTAGTGCCTATTACGTGATCTATCATCAAATTGGTGATAATATGAACAGATTTGTGCACAGTACTCTGAGCCATTCCCATAGCCCTCAGAAAGTCTAGATACCGCTTGGCGTATACTGTCAATACAAAAAAAATGACCCCATTCAAGCTTGTCGCCATGTTAGGTAAATTTATGTTTTGGCTACACTGATTTTTAGTTTGTGTGTTCTGTAATACGTGAACACCGATAATCTGCACTTTGTTATTAGTTATAAGTGAGTGAGACGCACAATTTCTAACATAGAAAAACTAAAAAGAGAAGGTTTGAATAATAGGCGGGAATTGTTTCCTTGTTTGTAGTTTATCATATCGCGCTTCACGCGCTGCGAGCACTAAATAAAAGCCGTTTTTACACCCATATGATAATTAAAAAATGAATAAATTTTAAAGAAATCAATAATTTTACTAATGCAATCTTTTAAATATCACTTTAATACAATATAATGATCAAATACAGGGATAATTGTTATAAATTTATAAAGTTAAAGCTACATTTGAATATTATGAGGTGGTGTAAATCTGGCTTTCCTAATAAATTAGGTTATGTTACACTAAAACATGACAGTCGTGGAAAATGTAGGTGAGTAAAATTTAATTAATCTTATTTTTAATTTAGTTTTAGTTAAATTTAAGTAATTTATAGGTATAAAAATATACTGAGGTCCTTAACGATGTCATTAACTTATAATAAATTCACATTATCATGTGCTGCTCCAAATTGCAGAAGCAAATATTATTTACATTCACTTAATAAGAAATTTTTTACTTTTCCGTCCATTATTACCCTTAGAGAGAAATGGTTTGATATTTTAAATATTCCCTACACATCTAAAAAAAACTATAGTGCGAGGATCATTTTGACGAGAATGCCTTCACCAGCACTTTGCCTACTAAGCTCATTAAATTTGCCTTGCCTTTAGCGCCTTTAGAAGAGAATATTACTACTAATAATAATATTACATTAGATGAAAATTTTTCAAAGCTACCTTCATCAAATTCTCTTGCAAAAATAAATGTAATTAGTAATGTTTTGATTAAACCTTCTGTTTCGAATATAACTTCAGCTAAAAGAAAGCTAGATTTTTTTAATGATAGAATTGAATGTGTTGAGGAACCTTTAATAAAGAAACCACGTGTAAGAACTGGTATTTTAAATCAAATTAATGCAACTACAATTGGTAATTTAACTCCTAGAAAGAGAAAATTTTATTATATTAATCGAGAGCAGCAAAACAAAATTTCAAGATTAAAAAATAGTTTATTAAAATCTAAAAATACAATTAAGACTGCTTTAAAATTATCAGAAACAAATTTATTTAAAAATTTTAGTTTAATTTTAAGATACACACTGCGCCTTTATTTTTTTTTTGTTTTAGTTATTCCTGAGTATGGAGATTTTTGGAATGGATATTGCAACTACAATGAACCGAAATAGATGGGTGAAGGGATAGTAAAGTGGTTTAGTGCCAGAGTTACCTAACCAACAAAATTTCAAAACAACTGGTCTTTGTTATTGTTTTAAAATCATTTCTATACATGCCAAAGTTACCTATTCCTTAAAATTATGTAGTTCATGACAAAATTAAATACTTATTTGACAAGTGACTATTTTTAAATTTTTCTTAAACTTTGATCTCAACTTAATTAATTATTTTTTAGCAACTCTGGCACTGGAACACCCAATAGAGCTTAAGAATAATAAAAAAATTTTCAGGTAGTAAACTCAATTTATTTTTAATGTGTACTTTTTGTGATAATTGGTAATTTTGTGATATTAGGTAATTTTATAGATATAAAATAATAATATTAATAACAATAATAATCGTGATTAGTGTAAACGTATATTTTTAAATTAACTTCAACCCTTGAACATTTTTCAACATATTGTGAATATGATGTTTAATATAATGTAATGATATAGTTACCTATTCTAAATAAAATAAACTTATTACAAATGTTTTTATTTTTCATTTAAAACAAGTGACATTTTCCGTTTTTCAGCATTTACTTACAATAAAAATTCATTTTACTTATTGATTGTTTCAATTATTGTAAGTAAAAGCTGTAAAATAGGAAAATGTTACTTGAAATTACTTCAAATTTCATAAATTTTAAAGCCCGCCATTTTTTAAATCGCTTTACCTAGTAGTTTTCTACTTTACCGACTGTACCGAATTATAGTTCATCATAACGCGCTCAGCGCGCCACTGTCGAGGTCAAGCAAACTTGTTACCAACTATTTACAGGGGAACTGGCTACCCTGATTTCTAATTTCAAATTAAGAACAAAACTTTGACAAACTCATTTGATTTTCCTAGATCTGTTCAGACAGGACCGGTTTTATAAAATTTCTCGTTCTTGAAATGTTATTTTTACATGGTTATATATTATTGTATAAGTGGTTTGTGTACATATTGCTATGAGAATTATAGAGAAATTTAGTGAGATTTATGTAATATAATTCAAATTACAAGTAAACCATCTGTTTCTTTTTGGCAATGTGGAGAAAATACCTACTTCAATGTCAAATGTACTATTTAAAAGAATGTGATTGTTAACCGGTCATTTATTTATATTATATTATGAAAATAAAAACTCGAATTTTTTAACTAGGGAAAGATATACTTACATCGGTAACAAGGTATTTTAGAAAAACTAATAGATTACTCCTATTCCTATAGTTTATTTGAAAATGAATAATAGCAAAATTATATAAAAATATGGACCTTTGCCATAAAAACTGTGCTACCAAGCATTTTCAAATAAACTATAATGATAATTTGATTTAATAGAGCGAGTATAAGATTTCACCTGTTAGAGAAATTGGGGCATAGGGAAGAGATTATGAAGCAGGTAAGCAAAGTCATTGCAAAAGATAAATATATAGAAGTTATTTTAAAAATTTGATAAAAAACTAGTGGAACAACAAATGGAGTTGTCGCTATCGGAGATCCAATCAGCAGAAAGTAAAAAAAAACTTTGGGAATGTTGGAAAAGGGCCCAGCAATAGGCCCAAAACAATTCCTTGGTTTTTTAATAAATATAATCTGAGATGCAAAAAATACTGCTAGAGTGGAGAAGCAGTATTGTTCTAATGTAGAAAACCCAGGGACATACAGTAGTGCACTAACCATAGGCGAATAGTCACTAAATTATACAAGAGTCCCATCTCGATTTTATTTTTAAATATTTTTGAGAATACCTATTATTTGTTACATTGAGTTTAATAAAACCACAGATTTCGAATGTATTGAAAGTTATTTAAAAAGTACCTCTATAAATATATAGAAAATGTGTATATGACTAACTGGTTTTATTAATCTTTTTTTCGGGTAGGTAAATATATTTTGAAAAATTTACAAACTTCTTTTGAATAAAAGACAAAATGTTTCTGTTTTTATTAACTGAACAATATTTTATACGAACATAATATATACCTATTTAAAAGAAAATATTACATTTTACAAGTATCGCATATTTATATGAAATAACTTACTCAAGAAGAAAGAATTAAATGAAACAAATTAATAAACAATAGATATGAAAAATTGCTTTAACAATTTAATCCTTAGATAAACTTATTCTTACATATTGCTTTAATCAATTTATTTACTATAAAAGTATATTTCCTATCATTTATTACATATAATAAAATAAAGCATAAAACATACAAACTATAATATGTACCTACTTAGAACGGAACTAATATTATTGTATCAAGGTAGTAAAAGTGGACATTTTCCAAATAAAAAAAAGTAAAAAAGACGTTTTTCTGACTATTGGTCTTCATCAGTACGGTGCAGCCAAGTTCAAAGGATCATGGAACTTGTGTTGGAAAAATTGTACAATAGGTCACTAACAAGGAGCCAATAACACATTTGCCGTTTCAGCTAGTATCCCCAAATTTTCTGGGCTTATACTAAAGTCACAAAATGATTCAATGGTCTTCCTATGACTATCAGTTATTCTTTCCTAACATTTTTTTTGTATGCTACAACAAAACATACAAATTATTTGATTTTGTAAACATACAAATTATTTGATTTTGTAAATACACAAATATTTGTGAAAACTTACACATGAAATGTTATTCCTTCCTTGTATCTTCTACCGTTAGATGCATTGTTACATTCACGTACAAAACAAAAAGAGATTTTGAAAATCCTGTAAAAATTTAACACCAAACCACAAATGTTCTTTATTAAAATAAAACACTAAACGACTAAACTAAAAAATAATGTTTTAAATAAAACCTTTACTAGAAAAACAAAATAAACAACACAACAGATAATAAAATCGATTATATACGTCGAACGCCGATTTTACGCTTATTACTAAACTTGCGCCGATTCTGTCTTGTCAGTAGTGCCAACTTAAAATTTATTGACATTTATTTATCATGGCGCCCATCATATGGGGGGTCAAAATGTTTTTACGATGCGGTATCTAGACCTTCTGAGGGCTATGGCCATTCCAAAAATATACTCTTGACCAACACATCTTTGATATGAACCAGTAGCATAACATCTTGAGGCACATAAAATCATATTATGAATCGATATACCCCTAAAATCCTATCTTTGATGTAAATGAGGTCAAAAAGTGTGTATTAATTCGCGACCTAAGACTTTATTGAGGCGAAATAATTTAATCAAACGTCTATAAACAAGAAGAAATGAATCACTGTTCCGTCGTAACAAACGTCCTTCTCTTATTAAGGCCAAATTTTCTCGTCGACGTTGTCTTTCTAATAAAACTTGGTGAACAATAGGAAGCATTTTTGTTTGGTTTTCTTAAACCTAACCTCAAAATTGCACTACTCTACACCTTCTAAGCAGTCGAGAAATTGCGATCGAATCGAGACGATTATTTGAATGTCATGAATACATTTTAAACATTTCAGTAGATTAATCGAGATCGAGTATCCCAAATCAAGTGCTGTGATCCCTATGGTCATGTCAATAAATATTTTAAAATTTAACAAGTATTTTGTTTAAAATATCTTATTTAATAATAAGCTAATGATTTAAATTTTTACCATGTGTATTAGAATATTATAATATTATTTGAAATATAAGTGGAATATCAGTGGAAAACACAATTGTTGTGTACGTCAATGCGGCTATAAAAGAAAAACCTTCTATTACATTGCATCTGCTTTCTGAAGCTGGTAAATGTAGAGTAATTTTTATAAAATGCAAGAGGAAATTCTGAACTTGTGGGTGCAAGAAATGCATGGTTACAAAAATTGAATATATAGAAGCCAGTATCAAAGTATTTGAATTTATTTATAACTAATTAATTTTATACTAATTAATTTGTATAATACTTAGTCACTATTATAACTATCTAATTTATTTACCGGCCACGTACCTCTTTTTTTTTGTAGTTTCTAGAAGCGGTACGTTTGTCTCTATATGCCAGCGCTAGACTTCATACCGCAGGCAAGAAGTAAACAAAGCACAGGGTTGGCTTTTGCGCGACAAAGTATTTCTAGATGGTTGAATAACAAATTAGTCTTATACACATGATAAATATTTATGACGAAAACACAGAAACTAAACTAAAATAAACACAGGTAAAAAATGAAAAATAAACAACAATTAACCTGCTTACACGTGACAAATGATAGGCGTGCGAAAATTAATTCGAATTACGAATCGGTCTCCGACGAATTCCAGTGAAGTAATTGCACAATGTTCTACGAGGGGTTTCGAAGAATTTGTTAAATATTAAGAAATTAATTAATAAATAAAAACTAATTTCCAGTAAATTTTTTCAAATATTACTAAAAAATTGGTTTGTAACATGGTTTATATTTTTTTTAAACCTCAAAAGAATACTCGTTTTACACAGTAACGTGTCAGTCCCACTACTTGTAAATTAGAAGAGATCACCGTATTAGTTTTTAAATCGGGGATTGCTAGTTTTCAAATAAATGTACATATTCAAAGAGACAAGAGTGCATACTGTTCTAAAAACAAATGGCACCAATTTTAGCAGTGAATTCTAAAATTTAAAATGATAAATGTTATGCTTCTTTGAGTATCTACTTACTTTCTACAGAACTCGACCATCTTTTCAAAAGGCTTCTCCCAGGCGTACATTTTTATGACTTGAATACCTGAAGTTACTTCATTCATTAGTTTTATACGTTTGTCTGTCCTAATTGCAATTTGATATCGCAATTTTCCTTGTAGCGTGGTCATATAAACTGTTAAACAGAAAAAAATACTTTGTAGGATTAACTTTCAATGGCAATACTACAAGAGGTGAGAATTTTTTGAGAACATTGTTGTTTATTTAGAAATTTGCATAATTTGTAAGAAACAACAAAATGTTCTCAAAAAAATTCTCATCCTGCGTATTATTTGAAAAGATTATTTAACAATATAAACAGATGAATGCCTAAGATAGTACCGTGTTTTTCGGCACACTTTCCTGAATATTTTGAATTATAGAGTTAATACTTGATCAACCAAAACGATTTTTGTCTATTTTTTAACAAACTCTACATTACACATTCTGAGTTCGGGCAGATCACTCCGCGTACGCGAAGTTACTTTATCGCAGCAAGAACAGGCTACGTATTGTACAGGGATCCTTACCGGGCATTGCCGACTGAAAGGACACCTAAGTAAACTGAGAGTAGTAGAGGATAGTGAGTGCAGATTCTGTGAGGAGGAAGCTCCATTCACATCCTAACTGAATGTCATTTTAAATCCAACACATCCTTAAGAAAATAGTATTGGAAGGGTCGTTATAGACATTGAGACATTTCCTTGGTGCATTGGCGACAGAAGGGGGCACAATATATCTTTTAGGTCGCAGTGTATTAACACTCCATTCCCAACATAACATAGATAATTACAGGCCATTGACAGGCACATGATAGGTTATGATATGGCAACACTGTGGGCCTGGTGATTTGACAGGGTTAATGATATAGATAGTTATATAGATTGAGCATCTACGTTTTTAAAAATAAGCATAAGCTTATGCCTTGAACTTAAAATGTAAGTAATTATTTTTTTTTATATATTCAAAAGCTGGAAATTGATTTTAAAACACATTTTTGTTAAACCAATTTAAATTAATGAATATTTGTCAGGCAATATGGCCGCTTGCAAACGACCCGCTTTGAGCAATCTATATAACTATATATGTATGACAACAGGCCCACAAGGTTGCCATATCTAAACTGTCAGTTCCCACTGGCAGCATTTTGAAAGGTCGTTGGAATGCCTAATTAGGCATTCCAAACAAATGAATTACCAGTGGGCAGGTTTGGTATATCTAAGGGTGGCGACATATGGTGTATTCTAGCTACTTTACGTAAAATCATGAATAATGGATTACATTTAAATATTTTATGTCAAACATAATAAAAATAATATTTAAAAAACCCACCTATACATTTCTTCATAAATTGGCAGGCTTGGCGAGCACTACTTCGAATAAAAATAGCTTCCAAGTTGCAAGACTATGTCGCTACCCCCTTAAATATACAAGAATTTCCCACTGGCACCTATTGTTTGACAGGTCGTTGGAATGCCTAATTGATTTTTTAAATCCAACCTTTCTGATAAACTTCACATTGACGTTTTGTATAAATCATTGATACATTAGTCTGGTAATGAATTTAATTTTTTAAATCGAATCGCGATTGAGTGACTACAATTGAGTTAGTATTGAGAGAAGATAACATGCCATACAACTTTTCAAAAATAATGTAGTGTTAGTAGACTGCATGTAGACTGACATGGCTTCTTACCATGCAGTGTTTTCAGATACATTTTGTTATTGGTTGATTTATTATAGTATAAAATAATCTTTGTAATAAATAAAAATAATAATAAAACTGAACATATACATACTTAGAATGGGTACGAATCCTAAAACAGTGGTCATTCCTGCTGCAGTAGCATAAAGCCCAACGTTACAGTAAATCACGTAAAATGAAATAACAGCATTGAAGGGCAGAAACCATATAAAATGTAAATAGTAAGACGCCATATCAAATCGCTGGACATCATTGGATAATAAATTTACCAGTTTACCGGCAGCTGTTTGCCCTAGAGAAGAGTGGTTCAGTTTCAACAGCTATAAAATAAAACAATTAACTCTTTTAATGTTTTAGATAACGTTATAGCTTTTATGAAAAAAGCCCATTTGATAATAAAAGTATATTTGCAAACTGTTTCACATATAACAAGTTATATTTGGTTTAGAATAGAAAGTATTAGAAATTTAATAATTTAAATTTGTTCTTACTTTTCTGTAGATTACAGAACACACTGCTATTCGAGCTCTCATGCAGATCCTCTGAGTGTACAAAACCGAACTGTGGTTAATTATCACCATAATAAAGACCAGTGAAACAACTACAGTCGCCCAAAACCATCCAACCTGTTCACTTTTCCCTTTGTCAAAATAGTTGATATATCGGGCTAATGCTACGGGAAGCACCATCCTGTACAGAAAATATTCTATAGTTACAAGTTGAAAGTAGATGTAACTTTAAATATGTTTATTCCAGTTTTTATTTTCTTTACCAATCAAAAGCGTTCAATATATTAAAACTATTTTTGTTTACATGTATTCATAATTAAAATGGTTCTGTACATAAGTTTCACAATAGATCTGAATAGGTCGCGGTAGATAAGGATAAATGTCCAAGTACTTTCAAAACTTCTCTACACAAACAAATAGCAAATCCACAAACTTGTTGTTTAGACAATATGTTTTACAATTATTTTCAACCTATGTTCGTAGGAAACATAGGGTAGGTGAATACAATATCGCCAAGCTAGCAATAACGCCAAGGGTTCATATCTTGGAAGGTTTGGTTTCTGAAAGACAAATGGCGCTTGTAAAAGCAATCTACATTTCAATTTGTGGTGAATTCTAACCTCACATTTTCGTTTAGCAGTTGGTTTCCTACCTAAACTGCTTTGCCACTACCACCACCACCACCACCACCACCACCACCACCACCACCACCACCACCACCACCGATGTAAGCGATTACTCGTCATATTTATTGGATATTTCAAAGATTGTGCAGGTAAGTGCTTTTTTTATTAGCAGCAGTTTTTAGTAAAGAATGAGCTATCAACTAATGGTAGATATTTAAAAATCGTTTGTTTTTTACCGAAGTAAGCAAGAAACAGTAGAAATGTGCGCGTGTTTGTAATATCGCTAAAATAACCGCCAATGGCGATATTGCCAGATATGAATATTTTTCATGTTTTCTTGAATTTACACTAAAGAATCTTTCATTATTTTACAGAATCGTCATGAATAAAGCAAGAAACCGAGGTGTCAGAGGGAAATGGCCGGAAGAAAATATGCAGCGTGCCCTAGCCGTTGTTGGAAATAGCGTGTCTGTGAATTCAGCAAGTAAGAAATTTCTGGTTCCTCGTAAAACCCTGAGAGACTACTTACGTAACCATCAAATAACAAAAGCTGCCATGGGTCGCAAATCAATTATTAATTTGGAACAAGAGGAAGATTTATGTAGAAGAATAATTCGTTTAGCGAAAGTAGGCTATCCCTTAACTTCGAAAGTTTTACGGCATTGCGTGTTCAATTTTTGTGAAACCAACCAAATTCAAAATCCGTTTAATAAGGTTACAAAATTGGCGGGCCGATACTGGCTAAAAGGTTTTCTTAACAGGCATCCGAATATTAGGAATCGGCAAGCTCAAAGCATAAACCCCGCTAGAGCTCAGAAACTAAATAGGTTTATTGTAAGTGACCATTTTAAAAAATTGGGCGAAATTCTTGCTAACATGGACATCTTGTCCACTATGTCCATATCTGAGCATATCTACAACATGGATGAGAAAGGCTGTCGGTTAGCATTACACCACCAACAAACCGTCCTTGCAAAAAAGGAGCAAAGCGAGAGCAACTTGTGGCAAATGAACAAGGACAAAACGTCACAATAGTATCTTGTGGCAATGCCCTGGGTTCTGCGATTCCTCACTTAATTTTATTTAAAGGAAAAAGGATGAAGCCTGAATGGGCAGATACACTTCCGGCATCTAGTATGGTGTTAATGACTCCAAAAGGTAGTATGACCATTGATGCTTTTAAACAATGGCTGCATCATTTTGCCAAATACAAAGTTGCTGGTCAATCTCTTTCAATTTTCGATGGTGCTAAGTGTCATCTGGATTATTCTATTGTCACGGTCGCAGAAGAGTTGGGTATAACGTTATATTGCTTGCCAAGCAATACAACGCACGAACTACAGCCTATGGATAGGTCTGTGTTTCGTTCATTTGAACACTATTGGGATGCCGAAGTTCTTAAATACTGGTCAACACATAGGGATCGTGCTATAACAAAACAACGTTTTGGAAACATTTTTTCTGTAGTTTGAGACAAATGTATTTCACCATCAAACATAAAATCTGGTTTCGCAGCAACTGGAATTTATCCGTTCAATCCGGACATTTTATCACCCGAAGCATATGCTTCAAGCAGTATAACTGAACAGGAAAATCCTAGTCAACAACCACCTACGCAACATAGAGTCATGACACCCCCTCCAGGTCCTTCCAACAGTCAACCCATTATGTCACGTATAGAGAAAGTAAAAGTTAAAAAGTCTTTTGGTAGGTAGAGAGGGGGTAAACGTCAAACCACGTCGGGCGGCTCCGAGAATTTCACAGTAATGTTTACCTGCCAGTGTCGTTTCATAGAATAAGTAATTTTAAATTGTTATCGGCGGAACCGGACAATCGCATGTATTTATGGATTATAAATAATTATTAAACATGTATTATAATATTCAAATTATAATTTTACAAAATTTCAACAGCTATTCACAATTTATTAAACTATTTACTCGAAATTGTTATTAACATCTATAAAATAATTTTGTACGCCAATGTATCGTGTCCACTTCGGTGAGATCCGCTGACAACCTGTCAAGTTATGTGTATAAAGTGGGAGAACTGGCAAAAGCATTTCCAACTTTTACTTCTGTTCTACACCACTTCCAGATCTCTCAACAGCTGCTAGAAAACATCAACGAATTCAGTTACGTGACATAAGTGATTCTGAAGAGAGTGAATCCCTGCCGTCCGAATGCTTTGACGATAATACATATAATGACGCCAAAGAAGACGAACAGGACGAAGAGATTTTTCCCTATTCAAGAATCGAACTCAAGTCTTCTGTGTGGAACACAGTGACCACCTATTCTTTTATTTTTGTTGCTTTAATACTCGTAATTAAATTGACTTGATATAGTTTTATTTAAATTAACAAATTATTTATAATTATAGACGAAATAAAAACAAAAATGCTATTATTTATCGACTCTACACAAGAATAACCCATTTTAATGTATGTTTAATCTCAATAACCAAAAAAATATACTGGCAATTAGTTTGACAGAATTGTCACATAATTAAAATTTTAAAAATAATAGCAGTCGGTTAAACAAAATATGAACGGTGATTTCATTTTTTTGTAGTGTTCTTACTACCTAAAATGGATATGAAACATATTCGTTCAGTTGAAGGCAATAATATACTTTTTCGTTATGTAATCTGTGCGTATATAAGCTATTATGCTAGTGGGTGTAGATAAAAAATAAAATTTCTTAGTTTTAGAACTGTTGATTGTTTATTTAAAGATTATTTAAATAATTCTAGAATAATTTATTAATTTTTACAGTCTTTGATAATAGTCCACCATTTTAATTTTCAAAAAGTCACGTGGTTTATGTAGGCATCAAATATACAACTGACACAAAAAGTTATTTAGCAGTTTATTAACTACTGCGTTTTATTGAAGGTCAATCCATAATTATATTATCCATACATTTTTTTTAAGTTTCTTATTAGACTATTTTTAATGATTTATATAACTAGAGTAAAATATTGCATTTTATGCAAGTTCATTGTGTAAAATTATGTAACCAGTACTTACTTAATGACATTATACTGAATACATAGTCCTATACCAGGGCACAAATATTGTTTCAAGAACGTGTTTGATATAGCCCTTTTCAGGCTAGGATGTTTTTTCAACAATTCTACTTCCCAGTTCCTGTAATATTAAGAAAAACTTGCTGTCATTAATATTAATTAATATTAATAATATTAATAATATTAATAATATTAATAATATTAATAATATTAATAATATTAATAATATTAATAATATTAATAATATTAATAATATTAATAATATTAATAATATTAATAATATTAATAATATTAATAATATTAATAATATTAATAATATTAATAATATTAATAATATTAATAATATTAATAATATTAATAATATTAATAATATTAATAATATTAATAATATTAATAATATTAATAATATTAATAATATTAATAATATTAATAATATTAATAATATTAATAATATTAATAATATTAATAATATTAATAATATTAATAATATTAATAATATTAATAATATTAATAATATTAATAATATTAATAATATTAATAATATTAATAATATTAATAATATTAATAATATTAATAATATTAATAATATTAATAATATTAATAATATTAATAATATTAATAATATTAATAATATTAATAATATTAATAATATTAATAATATTAATAATATTAATAATATTAATAATATTAATAATATTAATAATATTAATAATATTAATAATATTAATAATATTAATAATATTAATAATATTAATAATATTAATAATATTAATAATATTAATAATATTAATAATATTAATAATATTAATAATATTAATAATATTAATAATATTAATAACAATTACGAAATTTACTCTTGTTTGCCACAGTTAACGTATCAATATAATTTTACATAAAATACTTACTTTTGTAACTTATCGCCCCATACTTGTGAAAGATCATTCTGGGAAACGTTATAGATATCTTTAAATTGCACGTCGTTTTTGTATCCAAAATTAAAAAATGGTAGGAACCACCTGAAAAAAATGAATTCAAGAAATATATTTACGTTAAAAATAAATAAAATATCAAAAATATTAAAAATAAAAGAATTAATGAATAAAGGAGCTTTAACATTGCGCCTAACTGTAATTTTGACATTTAAAACTGCCATGAATATGGCACAGAGCTCAATTTCGGGGCAATATAAGTAATGTTTCAATAGTTATGATACTCAGTTGTTCCAAAATGGCAAGCATTTTTTCACAGATGCTTCAGTTACTTTATTTATAATTCACCAAATCACCCCGTATAAATAATATATAATAAACATAAAAACAATATACTTTATTAAGGGAACCAAAAGAGGTTAACGGGTGTGGCTTGGATTAGCAAAAAAAACTTGTATTACGTGAAAATTGTTATATTTAAAATGCAAAGTGCTTATCTACAATAACTGTGGGTGTAAACATGTGATATAAAAATATGTAAATATGAAACATGAACAAGAAATTTGAGTCAAAAAAAATAATTTTTAAAAAATTTACAGTTGACAATTAAAGTTACAAAAGGAAGTAAAGTACAAAATTACAGAAAAACCCAATGTTAGAGACAATGATTTGGGCATAAACCCTTAGTCTTTCAAATAGAATCTCAAAAAGCATTTTCTTGTGTAGAGATACGAGGTTATGCCCCAATCATTGTCTAGATTGAACTGTGTTTACAGTTAAAAGACAAATTAAAATGAAAGGGGGAAAACATGTGATGAATCTAATTTGAATTTAGAGATAAAAGAAAAATTATTATTAAAAATACACGATATCCACAATGATATCCAAAAAGTTTTAAAATCATCCTCAGTTCGAATATTAATTGTTGAAGTGTCCCACCTTGCTAAATATTCAGTTATTTTCTTTAAAATATTTTGGAATTTAGGAGTTTATAAAGCCATTGTTTAAATTTTTATTTTTAATTCTAATAAATTTATCCCATGTTTTAGGCGGCTAAAGTGACAGCGGTGACAGGTGGCACCTATGGTAATACCTATTGACGCTAATATGACAGATATCAAAAGAGAAAGGTGCACTCTCTGGCCGGTGTAAATTAAGTTACTCCAGATGTGATTCGAGTGACAGTGGGAAAAGTTTGGTGATGTCTGAATGTCTGATGGATTGAAAAATTATTTAGTTGTATCAAAGGATTCGAGAAATAATAAATGTTCATATTAAATTTAATTTTTTTGACAAATACAGAAAGTTCAATTCAATGTCAAGACAAAACAACAATATTACTCACGTGATTCTGCTGTGCCAACCCGGGCTCTACAGAACGTTTTTCAGAGAGCCAAAGATGGCACAACAGAACCCTTAGTCCCTATAGGTAAATCTGATGTTCAGTCTTAAAAATTCAAAGTTGCTCAATAAGCGTACTCATGGTTAGAGAGCGAGAGACCAAAATTGGGAACAAGAAAAAACAACAAATCTCCATGGTTCCAGAGGTAGGTTCTGATAATTGAATATCAATTAAGGAGGAAATGGCTTTCGAAAGCTTTTTTATTTAGCGACTCATATTTATATCATCATTAAGAGTTAACTAAATTTTCTATGAAATTTCGGTTAAGGTTGAATAATTTAGTGTTGAGACACAGGTTGTTATTGTTGTTTCTTTCGAGGGTAATTTTTACATCTTCGTAAAAATCTAATATATTTTCGAGTTGAATAATTGGAGTTTTTAGTTGGGCTGAAATTATCCCTTCCAAAGAAACAACAACAACCTTCGTCTCAACCTTAACAAATATTTCAAACCACTCCATAGACAACTTAACTCTCAATGATGATATAAGTCCAAGTCCTAAATTTCCTAAATTCATGTTTACTCATCAGAATCTACCTCTGGAACCATGACTCTTTGTTTTTTTTGTTCCCAATATTTGTCTCTTTCTAACCATGAGTACGCTTGTTGAACGACTTTGAACTTTTAGCACTGAACATCAGATTCACCTATAGAGACTGCGGGTTCTGTTGTGCTATCTTTGGCTCTTTGAAAAACAGCCCAGATTGGCACAACAAAATTACGTGAGTGATATTGTTTTGTCTTGACATTGAATTGAACTTTTTGAACGTCCAAAAAAAATATAAAATTTAATAAAAGTAAAACATATAGTTAAATTTCAATGTTTATCATCCTTTAAATATGGGGTCTATTCAGCTCTAGTCGCCGATGGGGAAAAATAATTTTTGTATATCAAACATTTCAACAGTATCAATGAAATAAATAAACATCTAAATTCTCTTTTAACATTTCTCAAATCCTTTGATATAACTAAATAACTTTTCAATCCATATCAGACATTTAAAATTTAAGAAATAGAAAAATAAAACATCAGCAAATTTATAGTTCTAACCCTCCCCACTCTCACTCTAATCACACCTGAAGTAACTTGATTTACACCGACAAGAAAACATACCTTTATCGTTTTACATCTGCCATATTAGCCCCAACAAGTCCCACCTGTCACTTCTGTCACTCTAGCCGCCTAAACCATGGATTGTTGTTAGAATTAAAAGTAAAAATTTAGAAGATGGCTTTAAAAACCTCTTAATTTTAAAAATATTAAAAAAAAATAACTATAAATGTCTAGCAAGGTGGACATTCCAACAATTCATATTCGTAATAAAGATGACTTTTAAACTTTTAGGATATTATTGTAAACACACTATGTATTTTTAATATTTATTTTTCTTTTATCCCTAAATTCAATTAGATTCATAACATGTTTCCCCCCTTTCATTTTAATTTGTCTTTTAACTGTAAACACAATTTAATTTGGACAATGATTGGGGCTTCTTGAGGTTATTTTAAACTACTAAGGGTTTATGCCTTAATCATTCTTTGTTGTAAATTTTTTAAAAGTTAATTTTTTGACTTAAATTTTTTATTCATATTTTATATTTACATATTTTTATATCACATATATACACCCACAATTATTGTAGATAAGCGCTGAAGATGGCGTTATGCCGAACGAGCTTTGAATTTTAAATAAAACAATTTTACATAAAATACAAGTTTTTTGCTAATATATTTTATTATTCATACATTATATTGAATCACCGAATATAAAAATCTTTCACAAAATTGAAAGCTGGCCCTGACCGCCTAGCAACAGTAAATGCATTTTAACGGTTTTTTGAATTCCAGGAAAACATATTTGTACACCTGCATTTTATTTACAAGCATTTTAATCATTAAAGTATACGGCTCTCTCGTAGAAAATTTCCAGTAATTTTATCATTAGCGCAAACGCCTTCACACTTATAAATCTGTTTCACTGTCACTAAAATTAGTATAGTAAAAAATAGACCGCTAAATTAATCCACAGGTGCAAGCGGCAATATTCCATTTTTCTTTGCAAAAATCACACGGAAACATCATCCAATGCTCTTTCAGCCAATCACGATGAAACACCCACAATTGCTAGCCGTTACACTTCCACTCGACAAGAGAAACGATGAGACTTATTTTAACCTCAGGTATATCAATATCTTTGTTTTCTTCCGTCGCGAGATCGGCGCTATTCAAAAGACATAAATTTTGGGATGTATTAAACGTGCTAATGCGCTAGTTCAGTGTGATGTCATTTTGGTTCCACTGACATTTAATTCTAACCAAACTTTTAACAAAAACATCAATAAATTTGACATACGTTTTTACTGTTTTTATTTTATTTCAAAATATTGTTTACAGGTCATAAAAAATAGTTTAAAGGTATGTAATTGGTAACTAAACGATTGTATATTTGATACATGCTATCTACTTACTTTAGAAATATATTTATAAAAGTGAAAAAAAAAAGGATATAATTTAGGTAAACAAAACGAACAAAACGCACTCAAAAAATCTACTGTCACTTTAATTGTCAGTGGAACCATCACTGAACTAGCCACATCCCCAACTAGCCATTCATAAAAGTGTATTTGTTGTGAAGTTCTCATCATCATCTATTGTATAGTCCAGGAGACAGTGACGATTTTCGGTATTTATTTTCCCAGTCAGCAAGCACGAATAGAGAATTGTAGGATTAGCAATTCTAAGCAAAATTCATATATATTTAGAGGGGGGATACGATGGGCTGAGGCCGAAAATGCGTCAAAACATACGAGAACACGGCCCTTTTTTCCATTGATAAAAATAGTTTTAGTAGTAAGAGATGTACTGAAGTTAAGTAAAAAAATAGTCTGATTAATATGTATGGATAATATATTTGGCAAGTGCATAAAATACACTTTCAAACGAGTTATGTACACAATTATTTCTACGACCACAATTATTTAAAGAATGTTCCAGGTGTTTTGTATATTAAAGTGTACGCATAGGACACATAAATACAATCTTATATCACAATGTTTCACCTAACCAGTTGGTTTATTTATAGAAATTAAACATAATAATTGAAGATATTACAGAAGAAAATAGGTAAATAAATTACATTTCCTTTTACACTTTTATATAATAATTGTTTTATTTAGAATTCACGAATCACTTATTACTACATTAATTATAATTATTGTTAGTTTCGTTATGTCAAATCATTTATTTTTATTTTATTTTATTTATTTATTTATTTATTTATACTAGAGGTGTGAGGAAAATACAGTGAACTGTGGAACGCCAATATTGTAGGATGCGCGTGGTAGAAATGGTCCTATAATACTGCTAAAAACATAGCTAAATTTTCATGGAAACACTGTACTTTTAACATTTGCGATACTCCGACGCATATGCATTATTGATGTAATCTCATGATTTTACAGTAATAGTTTTTGCAATTTTAGTATGATTTTTAGGTTATTATGGTTATTCATTTTATTTGGTTCTGATCTTTTGCACTTTTAGAGTATTTGTCTTTTATATAGTTTTTAATTTGAATTTTAATATTGTGGTCTATTTATATATGATTGCTGCTTTTCGACTAGTGCTTTATTCTTTTTGTGTTAAAATAAGCTTTATAACCATTAAGTACATGCTTCTAGTTGAT